TGGGGGTGTTGGGGGGGGGGGGGGGGGGGGGGGGGAGAATGAAAACAAAGGAAGTAAAAAAAAAAAAAAACCATTATCGTCGGACCAAAAGTTTGCATTCACTTTCGTATGAAGACAGTATGCTTTTAGATTTTTTGCTCTGTTATCGGCATGCATTTAACTCGTTTCGCATCCCACGTGGTGACTTACGCTATGTCTGGAAGAGATTTTTTAAAAATTATTTTTAACCACATTCTCTAAAAAATAATTTTTTCACTTGGAGAAATCTCTCCCAAACAAATGCATTGCCTGCTCTGGTAGTTTACTTCCAGTACGGATTGATCAAAATACTCCTACTTTTCTTCACATTTGTTGATCAAATTTCACTGCTAACAATTCTGTGAGTATTTCTTTTCCTTTTCTTGTTTTGCTTTTGTCATCAATCACTAGTCTGAAATTTCTCTGAAATCAGAATAGCTCGCAAACTGCTGCATGTAAATAACACGGTTTATTGAAATATAAATTTGTTAAAGTTATTATTAGAAATTTTTCAATGATCTGACTTGTCTGAGAGGAGTATAAGATGTTCTTAACATGTCCATATTGTGCTGTGAAAATCAAATCTTAGTCCAATTAGAGGGGTTCGTATTTATTTTATTTTTCATGACGATCTAATTGAATTCCACGTGCCTGATAAAACACCTTCCTCCCGAGTTGTTTAAGAGCAATCCGGGCACCTCTTACAAGTCGGTTTTAAGAGTGAATTCTACATTTTGTAATCTTTGACAGCATTAAAGAAGAGATCGCCAATGACAGTAGAAAGAGTATGAAAAGAGGTGATGAAGAATGATTAAATAAATTGTCTGATACAGAGATGAATGATGGCATTTTCAGTAAGCACAATAAGAACACAGGAAAAGAAGGAGAGTGAAGAGTACTTTATGGTCAATGGTGAAATCATGTGATTGCAGGTCCTAACAGTTAGTAATCTTGACAGGAGATATCTTCAAAATGGATCGCGGGGAATTCACACTGATCGGATCACTACATGCGTAATGTTCACTCTGCACTTTACAATACAGCTTCCATTGGAGCATTACCTATCTTGAAAGAAGCCAAAGGAACAAAAGGCAATAATTATAAGTCATCGTGGCTCACTTGCATGCAATTGACTCCTATGTTGGTTTGCTAGACATCCAACGTAGCTCGACTTTTTTCATATTCTTGGATTCTGTCTAATGTTACGAGGGTTTGAGGGTCTGGTAAGTTCTTTACATTTGTTGATATGTGCTGTGAGATTTTGTGAGAACAACTGTCATCGTGGCTCCCTTGTAGTCGATTGACTCCTATGTTGGTTTGCTAGACATCCGAGGAAGCTCGACTTTTTTCACATTCTTCGATTCTGTCATATGTTATCAGGGTCCGGTAAGTTCTTTACATCTATTGACATATGTTGTGAGATTTTGTGAAAACAACTTTAACATCTTATGATATGCAGGTGATGGCCAAGTTCTTGGGTTTTATGTATACTTATTTGAACATATCCATCAGCAAAAACATAGTATACCTTTCCAATGACCCTTCCTGGTAGAACAGTCATTTTTATTTTTTGTGCTTTTTACCTTTCTTTAACCTCAATGATCATAGTAATGTGTCTAAATGCACTGCAGGGCCATAAAGTCCATTTGGATCATAAAAATCTGAAGTTTCTCAAGCAATGGGCATGGCAGTTTGTTTGGATCCAAACCTGTTTGCTCTGTTTTGATGATAGCTCTTCAACCTCTCGGAATCTATCCCAGCTGGCTCAGCTGGACATTCACCATCATTTTAAACATTTCAGTTTCATTGGCATTGTACACCCTTGTGGTTTTTTTACCAGAATGATACTATTTGTATATAAACATGGTTTACATACAGATGATGTGTCAAAAAGAGAGGGGAAGTTTTTTTTTTTTTTGGTTGAAAAAACACGTGTGTGTAAATCAATATGTACGTGTAACACAACCATTTTTACCATGTCTTTGTGAAAGAGTTGGCCCCATAGAAAACACTTGCCAAGTTTTTGTGTGTCAAAGGCATCGTCGTCTTCAGTTTCTGGCAGGGAATTGTACTTGATATTCTTGTAGAACTCAGCATAGTCCAATCCAATCATTTTTGGCTCGATGTTGAGCATATTGAGGAAGCTTTTCAGAATGTATTGGTGATTGTGGAGATGGTTTTCTGCTGGATCTTCATGGAGTATGCATTGCATACATTGCTGCACCTTACCGTACTGGAACAGTTTCAAGCATCAGTTAGAAGAAGAAAGAGTGACCTAAAAACCCATGAAAATGGAGCAACATTCGTGTTTCATGGTGTACGCAGCATTTTACACAGTACATCTATGTCTAACAGCATATTGCTTCTTCATGATATATTAGAATCCTTTTCCATGTGGTAAAGACCCACAGAGAAATAAACGAGGAGTATCTTGCAATAAAAAGGTGAACCCAATTTGAAGAGAAAAACAACAAAACGAGGAGGGAGAAAAGTAACTTTCCACGTACATTGCTAAAGTTATGCCCTTAAGGTTCTAAGATACAGAGTTAAAGGGAAAGAAAGAGAAACCACATAAATTCCACATTTCCAGGACAATGAGATGCACAAAATTATTCACATGTATAAGAGTTTCATGAAGCCCTATTTGCAGTAACTTTGAGAGCATCGTAATGGCCCAGCACTTTTAGCGAAGAATATCCATGGTTCAACCTCCTGCAACAAATTCAAGATGGATGTTAGAATATCAACAGTAGAGCGTACCCATTTACAAGTTTAGCTTCTTCGAGTCACAGCATGGCCAGCTAACAAACCAAAAAGAGAAAAAGAAAAATGTATTATATGAAAGCATTATAATTTATGCCAAAGCCCCTCCAAGGGTTCTCATTTTATAAGCGAAATGCTATGAAGTATGAATGTTTCTCCAGACATGGACAAAATGCTAAGGTAAGTGTTATAAACCATTAAACCTGAAAGAAGGGGCACGCAGGATATATACAAGTGCCTTTACCTTTAACAAGAATGTGAAATATGAATTGAAATTCATAAAAAACATAGATCAAAGATGTCCCCATCCATAAATGCAAAAGGTGTTGGTCAATCTCAAAACTGGAAAACTGAGAGAAAAGAAGAGCAACAAATTCACAAAAGATATTGTGATCTTGTTTCAATCGCCCATCAGGACACTTAATGAGAGCAACAAAATCAAAGTACTTCAAAAGGCTGAAATAATCCTCAAGTTGGTTGAAAATCAGATCTGAATAGACTAATATAGTGATAATCGACCAGAGGTTTTATTATTATTATTATTTTTTTTTATTTTTTTATTTTTTATTTTTTTGCATTTGTGGTTTCACAGTGGCTAGATCATTTTAATTCAATTTGGGAAAATTGCAAGGGCACTAAAGGAAGGCGGTAAACTTTATTAATTACATTCATGTATTTTGAAAAACTTGCAATAGTGAAAAGTTAATGTGTGTGTTTGTGTGTGTATATGTGTGTGTGTGTGTGTGTGTATATATATATATATATATATATTTTTTTTTTTTTTTTTTTTTTTTTTGGGACGAAATTATAATACAAAAATGCCTCATATACCATTCTTAGTTACATGTTTTCGCCCATCTTCAAATAGTGATAGCAACGGGGCGGGGTGTCCCCCTGCCCCGTTTGGCCAAAACCCTACCCCGCGCCCCACTCCACCTTAGGCGGGGCGGGGCAACTTTTCGCCCCGTTTAATTTTTTTTATTTTTTATTTTTTTTACATTTTGAAAGTTTCGAATTATGTTATTATTAGAGAGTAAAATACAAATTCAAAATAAGTTTTTAACGGATGAATTGTCTAGAAATAAAATTATTTTTAAATTATTTTTTTTTATTTTTTTCTTCACGGGGCGGGTTCGGAGCGGGGCGACCCTCGCCACCCAGTTTTTTGCCCCATTCGGGGAGGGGCCCCGTCGGGGCGGGGTTAATTGCCATCCCTATCTTCAAATAACAAATCATTATATTTTCGAGTGAAGCAATGGAAGCCATGTAGAAAACCTGGTGTTCTTCAATCATTAGAGAGAAAAGTGCATACCATAGCTATGAACAATTGTCTCGAAGTGTGAGAATTCACTTTTATCAATTTGAAAGGGCAAGACAGATAACTACATAGCAGGATTCAACGTGAAACTTCCTTAAATGAAGGCACTAACTACTTTCAAGCCATTTATAACCCAAAATGAACAAAAACCTAGATGGAGTAAGCAACAAATTTAAATTATTACATAACTTTACTAAACTGACCAGCATTCAAACACCAAAATGCCATCAGATATGAAGCCCAGCAAAAAGCAACTCCAACTCCTCATCTTGTGATGTGTTTCTCTATCAACCAAGAACAAAAAACACATTAGTAATTTGGAGTCGAAAAATAAAAACATCACTTTATATGCCCATCGTACATAAGACATAAACCATACCAATAATGAAATTTTCTAATGAAAGATGAAATACATTGCACGTTTATCAAAGTTTTTACAGATTTCAGGACTATCAGTAATAGGAAACACTTGAGAGATGAAAAATGAAGCATGAATCAATGTAATATTAGTAAGAAGAAACATATCATAACTCAGATATTAGCTAATTCTTAAATACCCCCAAAATCTCCATATGGAGGAAGTATTTCCATCTAACCCCCTTAAATCCAGCAAGCATAATTTTTCCAATAATCACAAAATCTATAGTAAAATTGCACTTAAAACAAAGATTTTTGCCAAACACAAAAAAATATTTACACAAACCTGAACCGACAGCAGCTGTAGTATTTTATTCAAGACCCGCAAACGGTGAGAAGCATAACTGCTGTTGGCGGGCAGCCTATTCAATCTCTTCATTTCCTCATTGACAGCAGTCTTCTTTTCTTCATTACCCATCTGCTTCCACACATGTTTATGAACCCTAATCCCAGATAGATTCTGTTTGGGCACACTAATTAGGGCATTGCCGCCCTTCTCTGGCTCAAAAGGATCCACCTTTGCACTTCAGCTCGTGATTCAAAAATTAATCAAATCAATAGCAAGATTAAAAACAACCATCACAAGAAACAAGTAGTTAATTAAATAAACGTGCTTCACAATACACCATCAAAGCCAGGTCAACCGTTGAAAATTAAAATCAGTGGCTAATTCATGCCCTTTTCATGTTTGACAGTAAATTTTCTACAAAAATTACCTTACAGTCCTATACTTCAATGAGAAGAATCGGGGTTGGAGAGAGGAATTGCAGCGTTGCAGGAGAGAGGTTTATGAGTTAACCGTTCCAATGGTTCATGTGGGGTTAATTATATGAATGGTCATTGAACTTTGCCTTATGTTACTATTTAGTCACTGAACTTAAAAATGTAACACAATGGTCACTGAACGTCACTCAGTGTTACTACTTCATAACCGAACTTTAAAATGTGTCTCAATGATCATCGAATTTTGCACCGTGTTACCTATTCGTCCCTCAAATGGAAAAATCCGTTAAATCCAACAAATGGTGTCAACTTAAGTGACGGATGGGTAACACGGTGCAAAGTTCAGTGACCATTGAGATACATTTTAAAGTTTGGTTATGAAGTAGTAACACTTAGCGAAGTTCATTAACCATTGAGTTATGTTTTTAAGTTCAGTGACTAAGTAGTAACATAGTTGAAAAATCAAATCGACCTCAGTTACATTGTCATTATTCGAATATTTGTGTACTTTTATTTAATTTTTCTTTGTCAATTTCTTTTAGTGTTCTAACTTTTTCTCTTTCAATCTATTTATGTGGAGTTTGAAATACGGTGAACTGATACCAGTTGATCTAAAAATCAAACGTACTTTTTCATCGTGATGGATAAATATTAGCAACAATTCTATTTTTATTTAATTTATATGTCTCTGATTTTCCGTTTCCTATTTTTTTCCTTCATTTTCTTTGATTTCTTCTTTCATAGAGGTCGATTTAAGAAGCTTAGCCCTTGTTTGATCCTCATTTTGAGGGATAAGATGAATTTTTGAATAGAATATTGATGTGAAATGTGTAGTGAAAAAATAAGAAAAAAGATTTGAACTTGCGTGCAATATTATTTTATTGAAAATATATGTGATTGAATGGTGTCAAATCACTATTTAAAAATGTGTTTATTTTATTATTATTATTATTATTATTATTGAAATGAGTGGAACTCAAACTAGGGCTTAATAATTCAATTTAAAAATATATCTTAATAGTTACTGAATTTTACCCTATGTTACTACTTGTCACTGAACTTAAAAACGTAACTCAATGGTTATTGAACTTCGCCTAGTGTTACTACTTCATAATCGAATTTTAAAATATATTTCAATGGTCACTGAACTTTGCATTGTGTTACCCGTCCGTCACTTAAGTTAACGTCGTTTGTTGGATTTAACGGATCTTTCCATTTGAATGACGGATGGGTAATACGGTGCAAAGTTCGGTGACCATTGAAATACATTTTAAAGTTCGATTATGAAGTAATAACACTTGACGAAATTCAGTGACCATTGAGTTACGTTTTTAAGTTCAGTGACTAAATAGTAACATAAGGTAAAGTTCAGTGATCACTCATATAATCAACCCGTTCATGTCTTTCATTGATTAATTAAGTTTAAAATGTCGAATTTTGGTCACTGAAACTTAAGTTCATGTTTTCGATTGCTCAATAAAATTTAAAATATTGAGTTTTGACCACTAAATTTTGAAAAATATTGTATATTACTTGCTGAACTTTGAAAAATATTGTACTAATTGGACTTTGAAAAATTTTGTACATTACTCACTGTAAACTCGATATTTTTCAAAATTTAACACTTATGCTAGTGAGAAACGTACGGTATATTTCAAAGTTCAGTCCTTAAAACTCGACATTTTAAATTTTAGTAACCAATCTTAGACATGGACCTCAGTTCAGTAAGCAATTAAAGACATTGACCTAAATTCACTAATCAAAACTTGACATTTTAAATTTCAGTGATCAATAAAAAACATGGATCCAAGTTCAGTAACCATTGGAACAATTAACTCGAGGTTTATATTAGGTTTTTAAAAGGGAGAAACTGTACTATTAGCCTCTAGCCTATTGCTCGAGTTGCAAGTTAATCCTCAAACTTTTTCATTAAAATTTCATGGTTAGACAACGTTAATGAAAGTTTCAAGCGACTCTTTTATAGAACCATAAACTAGGAGGAATGAGTAACATCTTGAAATTTTATCATAACTTTATGAAGAAATTAGGTATTAAATTATTAAAAAGTTAGATAGAAATCATAATTATGAAATTTTTAGTTTAACATAATTAAATTCAAATAATTTTGAGCTCATAAAATACTCTTACTCAATCATCCGATAACTAATTTGACTATTCACTTTAATGATCATGAACTACATATATTTACTTTTACTCATTAATAATTCGTAAGTAATACCTTACACAAGTGGCGGGTAGATAATGACCGACTTAAGAAATTAATAAATTGAGTATATTTACAAAAATGGAAGCTATCAATCTTTTGTTATTGTTCTTAACGAACTTTCAAACAATCTTGAAATAATGTGTGCTACTATAACATTTTACAGTAGGAAGATTAAAGGGACGAAAAGTGGGCAGTGATATTTTAGTATATATTTGGCACATTTATTTTTATCTATTTATAAATTAAATCGTTTATAACATTATTCCAGCGGAGGCTGTACGAACGAGACTTTTTGTATTAGCCAAACATGATATTAAAATTAAACAAGGAAAGAAAAATGTAAAATTTACGAATAATGCTATTTGCAGTCGTCCTATGTGGCATACACATGACAGGTGATTATTTGATGTATTAATGAATAAAAAAATTATCACATTAATGTACCAAATAATTACATGCCATGTGTATACCACATAGAACGACTACCGTAATGAGCGACTACGAATAGCATTACTTAAAAGAATATTTTTCCATCTTTGTTAATGATTTGGCCTACAGTTGTCATATAGAACGACTACCACAACGAGCGATTACGAATAGTATTACTAAAAAAAAAAATGTTTTTCCATCTTTGTTAATGATTTGGCCTACAGTTACCCCAACTCTTGGCACGTGCGAAAGAACGGACTTCTCAAATAAAAATCAAATCAAATCAAGACGAAAATAGAAGAAAAAGGAAAGAAACGCTGATTTGCCATTTCTCTCTCCTTTCTCTACGCAATTTCACGGCGGAGGGGTGGACGGTCGAGGGAGAGGAGATAGAAACAAGATCACAGCCGTAGGACATCATTTTCATCTCTGACTTCACTGCACGGACTCAGATAATCACCATGAATGAGAAGGCTAACGTTTCCAAAGAGCTTAATGCCAAGCATAGAAAGGTCCCTAATTTTTTTGGATATTGTAATTCTGCCACTACTATTGATATTATTTTTCTTTTCTGCCTTGGATCTAAAGTTTTGACCTTGATGGATGATTTTCGCTATTGTGATTTTTGTTATTGGAGTAATTCTTTATTCAGATTTGTGTTTTATTAGTTATTCTGTAATTATTTAATTTGGACTATGCTTGAGTTATAAATTTGAGATTCATTTGGTCATAAACTATGCATTTAAGCTGGTTTAGGTAATTGGATAGAGATGTTTTTGAGCTTGGTTCGAGTAGTTTGGTGAAAATTTGGGTATTTATTTTAATTAATCAATTAAGCAGAACATTTACGTCAACACTTTTGAAGAATTGAAATGGCTGTTAATGTTTATGCTTTTGATGTTTATCGCGTACACTGAATTGCTTAGAAAATACAGTATCCAGATAGCCATCTTGTGCAACCATTTTAATTCACAGCCATCATGTTTATGCTTGAGTTATAAGACTTTAAGACCTATACAAGAAAAAAACCTTGTACCGTACCGAGGGGGCAATGTCCCTAACAATAAGACAGTGAATTAAACCCGCGCAAGGTTGATGACGTCGCTCCGCTCTGCACCGACATCGGCCCATTTGATCCAGGACCTGCGTTCCACTCTATATGAGTCACATGCACAACATGCATCTACAAAGAAATAGTGCACTATGTGTAGCAGTCCCTATGAGTATGTATTTCAAATGTAACAGACACTATCCTCTTACCTCTGCAAGTATTTGTTTCACTTCATCTTAATCCTTGTTGACTCTTTCATGAATCACTACACTAGAACGTTGGATGGGGGATTGACTGAATTATTAAAATGAAAAAAAATCAACGATTACCTGAGAGGAGAAGGGTAAGGAGGGAAAAGTGAATCTCTGTATCTGCATAGCCACTTGTTTACATGTTTCATTATTAAATCAAGCTTCCTTTATTTTCCCCGTGTACTTGGACAATTTTGCCACTTTATAGTGTCCATATGGTTGTTTCTTTCTCCCAACCGAATTGGCCTCATGGCATAGTTTTTTCAATCTTTATGTTTCTTCTGATATGAACTGTTAATAATTTCTTATGTTTCCAGATTCTTGAAGGTCTTCTTAAATTGCCAGAGAATAGGGAATGTGCTGATTGCAAGAGCAAGTACGTATTCTAAATGAAAGATGAGAATATAGGAATGCAAAGCTGACTTAGGAATTATGCATCTTAGGGCTTAGGGTATTGTGCAAATAGAATGTTAGAAAGCTATGCTTCTTAGGCTATTTGAAATTTTGACATTTTGCTCTTGAAATGCAGAGGTCCTCGATGGGCCAGTGTGAACTTAGGCATATTTATATGCATGCAATGCTCTGGGATCCATAGAAGTCTTGGAGTACACATATCAAAGGTGATATATTGTTAATTCAGTTTTCTTTTCTTTTCTCTTTTTTACTTTTTGTAGAGGAAAACTGATTTATGCATAAACATGACAAATAATGTATAGAGGTGAATCCATTTAGAAGTACAAAGATTCAATCAATTAGTCAAATTCAAAATCCATATTCAGGATTTAGAGTGATATGGTCTAAATTATGACATAAAAATGAAGATAGTGCCTTGCGATTTTCAGTGTGCTTCAAAATGATTTCCTGTGCTATTAATTCTGTCTTCGTGGATTGACATTGTTTATGGTAAATACCCTTTTTGTTTGACATGGTAAATAATGAAAGTCCTTTGGAAATGAGACCTTCATTCTCTCATCTTCATTTATTGTATAGTTATTCCATGTTAAAAATTCATATCTCATTCCTCATCCTCTGGGCTCTTGATTCTGTTTGGTTTGTATTCATCTGAAAATGTATTTTTCTTTAAAGAAAAAAATGGAAAAGATAGGTTTAAAGGTTGAAGGTTACTTAGAGCATCTCCTAGAGACTCTAAATACAAAATGCTCTCTATTTTAGAAAGTCAATGCTTAAATATAAGTTTCAAGAGACACTTTGTTTTAACTTTTTGAAATAGAGACTGGATTTAGCTCTTATTCATACTTTATAATGAATGCTTTTAATAAGTTAAAGATTTCAATACTTTAAAGAGCCTAGCTAACTCTCTATTCATAATTTATGGTAAATGCATTTCATAAGTTATACATTTTAATAATCTACTTTTTAAATTACTGAGAACATATTTGAATGGGTTGGCCATTAGCGTAGAAGAAAATTATGTTAAATAAAAGATGAGGATTAATGAATGTATGTTTCTTGAAAATAGAAAAATGAAGAGTCATAAGTCATAACAAAGAATATTGTTGGAGTGTATTGAAAACTTCATTCTCTAAATTGAAAGATGCTCTTTATAAGTAGAGAATCTCTTGGAGATACTCTTAAAACTACACCTTTAATCTACTTTCTTCATCGGTCAGTGTTGTCAAAATGGCTTTGCTCTAAGGGTATTACTGCCAAGCATATGTATAGTTCTAATTCTGCTGTCCTCATCTCCATGATATGCAAACCTTTTATGTTTGATGTATCCTTTTGCAGTCTCTTTCATTTTCTGATGGCAACTTCTTGATTCTCTGAAATGTGTAATATTTGCAGTCCCAGATTTCAAGGATGGGACACACTTGTTGAATGTACCAAATGTTTAAATTCAAAAGTATTTTAGAGTGGACATGAAGTTATATTTAATGGGTAACTGTTTATACTGACCATCAAATAGACAAGGAGTAAGATGATTATGAAAAATATGGATTTTCTTTCTTTCAATCTTATTATTGTTCACTGAAGTTCTTATGGGAAGTTAGCTCTAATCAAATTTCGTTTTTAATTTCCCAGTGGCATTCAATAGAAAATGTGACTATGCACTCCTAATCCACTTTTTTCTCCTATAAATATGGCCTGTGCAAGGAATTGTTAATTGTAATTTCCCAGTGGCATTCAATAGAAAATGTGGCTATGCACTCCTAATCCACTTTTTCTCCTATAAATATGGCCTGTACAAGGAATTGTTAATCTAAAATCCTGCTAAGCGTTTAAACACTTTGCCATGAATTTTTCTTTCTAATATGAAATTCATTCTTTATCACTCATCTTCGATTTCCTAAATGAATAGCTGTTTTCACTGCAATCAACCCTCTGCCTTCAAAATACTTACATCGTCCTTTCACGTGCATTTCATCTTATGTGTCTCAGACTGATAGTTGTTATTTTATTTTTTATTTTTTATATTTCTGGTCAATGTTTTATCTTCTCCCACTTTTAGACGCAATTGACTGATACCATTGTCTTTTGTGATAGCATCAGCTGATCTTTTTGTATAACTTTTTTGCAGGTGAGATCTGCTACACTGGACACATGGCTTCCTGAACAGGTTGCATTCATTCAATGTAAGACTTTTGTTGAGTATGATTTTTTCCTGCAAATGTTAATTCGATACTTATGAAATCTTTTGTAATTGAACTTATGTCCTTGTTTATTTAGCAATGGGAAATGAGAAGTCAAACAGTTACTGGGAGGCTGAGCTTCCCCCAAATTATGATAGAGTTGGAATTGAGAATTTCATTCGTGCTAAGTATGAGCTCTTTACCCGATGAACTCTTCTATATAGTAAACTCAACTTTATTTCAACAATGTTTGATCCTAGAATTGATTCAAGGCATGTCTCGTCTTAATTAAGGTATGAGGAGAAGAGATGGATTCCCAAGGATGGGAAACCAATGTCACCCGTGAGGGGACGAGACGAAAAAGCTTCTGTTCAGTGGCAAAGACCAAGTGATGGTCATGGATATATCAGCAATTCTGGGAATTCTTCTCATGAGAACTTTCAAGCACCTAGTGCAAAGGAAAATATTCCTGCGTCAAGAGTTAGTCTTCCCATGCCTCCTAAAGGACCAGAACCTGTATGTTATGTTGTATATAAATTGCTACCCTTTTCCTTGTTTATCTTGTATTTCTGTCAATTTTCTTTTGCTTTTCTTTTGTGTTTCTGATAAAGCCCTTAATTGGTTTTGATAAAAATCAGTTTTTTAGTAAATTTTGATAAAAATTGATGAAACATGTAGTTGAAAATGAGGTCGGGGAAAAATGAGTTTTAAGAAATGGAGGCCAAACTGGGGCAAAGATTAAATCACTCAAACTTTTGTGGTTAGCTATTGAAGATCCCATTAGTGCGTGCTTGTTATTTACTGGGTGTCCTAAACTCAGATTTAATGGATTTAAAAAATCCATATAATTTTAAGTGTTCCCTACTATGTTCATTGGTGGATGAAGAGACTACAGTTCATCCTGTATTCATCTTCTAATTCCCTCGTCTGTCTGATAGTTGATATTGTAATACAAAATTGCCTATACAAGATTACTTTGGTTTCCATTAACTACTACTATTTCTGATACCTCCAGAAAGGTGAAACTTCAGACTGTGGCTAACTTGTTTGTCTGGAAAACAGATTGGCTAACTTGTTTGTCTGGAAAACAGATTGCTGCTGTTCCAGTGCCGCAACAAGTGATTCAGAAAACAGAGCCAGCTACACCTGCTGAACCTTCAAAGCAGGTCACAGATGCTGTCTCTCCTCCTAAAGTTGATTATGCTACCGATCTCTTCAATATGCTTTCTTTGGATGGCTCTAATGAAAATGCCTCATGTGAAGCTTCTGCAGAGGATATTTCATGGGCAGGATTTCAGTGTATGTCAGTTATTCACATTTTGGTTGATCTTTCTATCCTTTTTTTGTTTACTTCCTGTTCTGCATATCTGTTGGACTGTTGCTAGAGTGGATAGTTTTTTTCTTTTCGTTTGGAGCTGGGTTGGTTGGTGGGTGGTGGTAGTTTTTACATTCTAAGAGGTTGAGGATTTCAAATTTCCCAAGGTGGTAAATGACGAGATTAAGCTTGTCTCGGCTGAAAATTATATGTGGCAATTTGCAGCTGCTGGTGCATCATCAACAGCGGAAAAAACTTCTCCAGAGAAATCTGATGGCAATAAAACTGAGTCTGCTTCTGCTTCTGCTTCTGCTTCTGCTTCTGGAATTGAGGATCTGTTTAAAGATTCGCCATCAATTGCACCTGCTTCCATGTCAGAGAAGCCTCAAAAAGATGTTAAAACTGATATTATGAGTCTGTTTGAGAAGGTATGTTGCATGCTAGAGAATTAACGGTGGATACTGATTCATTTTTTGGAGTTTTGATGGTTTTTAAAAATGTTGATTATTCATAACGGATTTGAAAAGGCTGGGCTAGTTTATATCTGTAAGGTTGGGTTTAATCAACTTTTATGAACAAAGTTGACTATATTTTTTATGATTCCATTCTAGTAATGCCATGTTCTAGCACTGCTCAAAAACCAATCTGTTAATATCATTATTGGATTGCAGTCCAATATGGTGTCACCATTTGCTTTGCACCAACAACAAATTGCGATGCTGGCACAACAGCAGTCTATTCTAATGGCCGCTGCAGCCAACTCTTCTGGTGGAATGCCAAAACTTCATGGTGATACACAACAAGTGCCAAATGGTGTCAACTTGTCCAATCAGAGTTGGCCAAATGTTGGGTACCAGTTCCCTGGAATGACGATGCCGGCAGCTGGAAAGAGCGAGCTAGAGAAATATATGCAGGTAGAAAATTGGTGATATTGCATGCTCTGCTTCATTAAATATCTGAAACTTTATTTATGCTCACATTCTGGTGTTTTTGCTCCTGAGCTAGATGGGGGACATGGCAGCAACTCATCCAGTAGGGAACTCTTTCCCTCTACCAGTTTCCAGGTATGTATTTGACACGTTCCAGTGTTTTGAAAATCTTATTCTCATTTTGGTGCAACCCTGGAAAGTGTTATTATTTATTTGCTTTGTTGAAGATAAATATCTTTGATTCTGTCCTCCTCATATACCACTTCTTCCCATGTGTGTGTTTATGTATTCTTTATTAGTAGCACTCTGCTGTCTACATTTTCTCAAGTTGAAGATTGAGATAAAAAGAGAACATTAGACATTTTTGTTTTGTTTTTTTTTTTTTGTTTTTGTTTTTTTTTTCACTGTTCCTGACCTCAGTTAGCAATCTGCCATAATGAACTAGGGATGAGCAGTGGGTGTGGCCACATGCATGTGGGCTGCTTTTACAATGTCTGCCATTTTCTTTGGTCTGATCAACACCCAGTATCATCTTAAATTTCGTTTTGTGACATTGACATGCCTGGTTTTCTACCAAACACTGTCCTCCTCACACACCATGAGTTTTATTAAAATGCCTGTGGTAGTTGACAAACTGTTTTAGCCATTTTTTCCTCTTCAGTTAGATCAGATGAAATCTATAATGATTTGACTCTCAATAAGTACTGCCTTGCCTTCTGGTTCAGGACGAGTTCAAATTTGTAGCATTAAGTTTTTGCTCAGCTTTTATTTTTATGTTTCTATTAAAGTTGATATAGGAAATAAATGAGTGTTATTTTAGTTTGGTAATGAAAATATCACAAATCCATTAATTTGTTCAATATTATTGCTAATGTGAGTATTAAAGGACCAAAATGGTGACTTCATTAGTCTCTGTTCATACAGACGCTTGTAATACTTGATATTTTATTGTTATTCTTTAGGAACTTTCTTTGTATCAATGCGATTACAATTCTGTGTTTTTGTCCCGAGAAATTTTTTATTTGAGCAAGGGTGATGAGAAGATTACATATTATGTGCATTTTCTTAAAAATTTCGTTTTGTGTTTCAGCATGCATTCCATGGGACCCAACACTTCTAGCAATGGTAGTTCGCCTTCTGGAGTGACCAGACAGACAACATCGTCGGTTTCAGCCGCTTCTCCTCAGACAGGAAAAGATTTCGATTTTTCATCTTTGACGCAAGGGTGGTTCTCGAAGCAGCCCTAAGAACCCCTAAGGTTTTGGCTCAGTCACAACACACCACACGAGAAATTCACAGAAAAGGTAGCTTTTGGAGTGTTTTCTGATCATAAAAACTATACGAAGACGAGCAGTTTCTGCTTTTTCTTCGTCTGGGGGGTGGCTTTATTTGTAGTTTTGCATGTGAGTAATAAATCTGTTTAGATTGAAATATTCTTTCTTCTGGAGTCTCTCAACTCTTGTTCATGTGGGATTAGTTCATATCATAAGAAAAGAAAGCTTATTTACAGTTTTGAGAGAAATTTATGTTGTTTTATTTACTGCTTCAATTACATGATTTGGTGGTTGACCAGTGGCTTTATAATGAATTTGCAATTTTTCTACAAATTATTCATGTCTTCCATTAAATAATGAAATAAAGTAAAGAGATGTACTAATTTGGTGCACGTTGGTTAATGCCAAAAAATTAACATGTTGCTGTCGTTTACTTTTCACTAAATTGGAGATATTGGACAAAAGAAGTAAAGACCCTTCTCATTATTCAGTCAAACAAAACCAGTTTAATGTCAAATTCTTAGGCAAACAAAGAAAATAAGGAGTTTTATTAAACCTAATTTCCATTGGTTGTTTCTTTTTTCCATCAGTAATGATTAAACTTGCAAGCTAATCCTATGCAACAGATACAAATATAGACCATTCATCAGTATGGTCAAAGATGGCGATAAATATGAATGGATAATCTTAAATTGTATGTTACGTTGGTAGCCGTCCACGAAGATAAAATTTACGTTGTTTTATAATCGTACACTTGTCGATTGTATTTCAATTGGACGGTAACGGTAATATAATCTTATTCGATTTAGTAATTTTTTCTTTTCTATAACGTATTGGTTTAAAATTATCACATTATACTCTTACAAAGGACAAAAGAACTGCATGATACTACAAGATTTAACTATTTGTCAAAATTTAAAAAAAAAAAAAAATTTAAATGAAAGCAAAATTTGCAGCATTAATATTGAATTTATTGTTTGAGCAACAAATTAGCCAATTACTTATATATTTGTACAATCAATTTCTAACTATGGAAAATTTCAAAATTCTTTTAACCTTGTGTGACCATCACAAAAACATGTCTTATTTTAAATTTCTTGACATTATTCCGAGTTTTGAAGCAAAGGTAACTTCATAAATTGGACATGAAGGTCGCGTGATAATTTAATGAGAGTTGAATAATTTTTTCGTTGAAGATCACTTCATAACTATATCGAAACTCAAAGCATACGACTTCTAACTTTTTTCTTCTATTAATAATCAAATAACTACCCCGTCCATATAGGTTTTTTGAAATTTTATTATTGAAACAACTAATAATTTAGAACAATTAGAGCTAGCCAATAATTTTCATATTATACCACCCATATTTGGTTCAACTTAAATAGTTGATTAAGATACAATTCAAAGTTAATAATTCATATTAATCACATTTATGGAATCTACTTTTTAGCCACTCATTCCATCAACTTTTATCAAAATTTACTAAAAATTTCATTAATTAATAAGCAAATTTTGTTATTTTGAATTAATCTGACCGTTTAATTTTAATTATAGTTATTTTTAATTAATCTGACCTCCAATCGTGCTAAAACGCCTATCTAAGGATAAGTCCAATCGAGTGAATTCTATGTTCTCAAATTTTATTTAGGCATATGACGTTCTTTCACATAGACGAATATTCTAATATCACTATCTTGACTTATTATAAAATCAGTATATTTTTCTTCAAATTTATAATTAAAAAAAAAAAAAAAAGGTATTTGTGAGTTTAAGCATATTTGCCTTAACAACATTACCACCACCTCCATCCTTCCTCTATAAATACAAAGCAGCTACCCCTCTCCTCTTACACTTCCAGTCCTGCATCACGCTTCTTGTTCACTCACTCTATCTCGCCGGAGAAACGAGTCCAGTTAATTTTATTCACCGGAAAAACATGCCGATTCTGTCTCGGACATCAAGTAGCCTTATGTTTTCGTTACAAGTTGTTTTAGCAGTCACAAGTATTTTATCCGCTGCGCTCGTGTTAAAATTTTCCGTTCCGGTAATCACAGAATTCGCTGTTTATGAGGTACCTTCGATTATAAAAGGTACCGTTTCGTGGTTCAAGCCTCTGTATATGTATATTGTTATCAACTGCATCATCATCACCATTGTAGCCTTCTCAAAATTCCATTCGAAAAATGACGACGTAACACCACCACTACCGTCGGAGGCGTCGCCTCCCTTAGAAACTGCCGCTCATATTCAACCTCAGCTGCAGGTGATGCCTGTTGCTGAAAATCCCCAAGTAGTTCACTCGGAAAATGAGTATAAATATGACGGCGTCGTTCTCAGCAGTGAAGCGGTGCCCGAGGGTTATGCTAACGATGTTATTGACAACAACATCGGTTTTGCACGTATGGAAGCAAAAGTTTTGGGAAATAAGACGGCGTCGTTTAACGGGAATGCAGATAGTTTCAAAGATTATGTTACCAGTAATAAGGAGAATGAATTTGTGAATTCAAAATTAAAAGATGAGCCGGAATATTCATCTTCCAATGAGAAGCCACGGCCACCGTCGGTTTATGCGAGGTTCGGTAGCCGGAGAAATATCAAAGCCAGTCCAGAAGGTATTGTTCTTTTTTATACCTCTCTGTTTTGCGCACGCACACACAATGATGGATAGAATCATCACCAGTAAATTCATTTTTTGAAGTTTCCGGTGGGTTTTGGCCGATAACGAATACTTGCTGGAGTAGTAGCTGGTAAATATTACAGTTGGCCACAATCTGGCGACGGTCGATCCATATGGTCTTGTGAAATTGAAATGACGGATGTAGCCCTGGATTAAGAAAGTGGACAAAATGATGACCTAACTATAACGTATACATGAGGAATTGGACCGCCATGGAATTCGAAACGATAAGGCCACACCCAGTCAGCTACTGCATAGTTCTTCCGTCACAATTCTTTAATATTGTTAATATATCGAAATCTCTCTAAAATTTTAATTATTTCTGTCCTATTTAAAAGTATTATTGAAATTTAATAATTACACCTGGATCTAAATAATGTTAAATACTCTACTTTGCAGGTGGTAAAACAGTGTTGGGAGTGTTGAAACCAAACAAGCAAGACACGCTTGAAAGTACGTGGAATACAATAACCGAGGGACGTGCAACGCGATTGAAGAGGCACTTAAGAAAATCAGACACGCGGGAGAGGGACAATCATATTCATGATCATGATCACCACCTTCAACCACAACAACAGGAGAAGACTCCAAAAAAGATGATCAAATCCGATACATTTAGTGATCGTGCCAACACTTCTAGCCCACAATTAAGTCCGTCATCTAGTGGCATCAACAAACTTAAGAAAGAAGCATCGCTAAGTCAAGATGAGTTAAACAGACGGGTGGAGGCATTTATTAAGAAGTTTAACGAGGAAATGAGACTACAAAGACAAGAGTCTTTGAATCAATACATGGAAACGATCAACCGTGCATCACACTAGCAAGCTATGGAATTCTCTTTGGAAATTTGATGGGGCTGGCTACTCGCATTAGAGTGCATTCACTAAATTAATGTATTATTTTTCTTGCTTTTTTATTTTCTGTAAGAGAAGGGAAAGAAGGTGATGTAGGTAAACAGTGTTATTTACTATTAAGATGAAATCTTAAAAAATGGAACCATATTATCTATTGTGCACGTCGGTTTCAAACTCCAGCCATTATTATGATGCATCTTAATGTGGAAAAGAAAAAAGAGCATGGAAATCGAATGCAACACAAGATAATAATAATGAAAACAATTGAAATTAGATTCCCATCATTGGCGGTGGTAAAATGTGATAGGTGGCAAGGGGATGGTGAAAGGAATATGCGATTTTAGATGATGGTGACGGTCGTGTCGACGGACATGGACGGTGAAAGGGTGAGTAAGTGGGTTTGGAACGTTCTTTTATTTATCCTTTTTTCACGATATTTTCTAAATAAAAAAATGTTAGAACTTAGAGCAGCATAAATGGAATTTGAAAAGTATGTATAATCTACGTCTAGTGATAAAAAATGATAAAATTTATGATTGAAATCTTATGGATACATATGATTATAATTAATTTTTAACTTTAACTTAATTTTAAATAAGATTTTAATCCCACCAAACATGGCATAATAATATGTATGTAATTTTTCCAATATTTATTTGATTGGCCTAAGGCCAATTTATCTTGTGACACTGATCCATTTCTTAGATCAAGCCCTGTCATCAAATCCTAAAGAGTTTCAGCCCTCCACCTAGCCTATGCCACGGGTGCAACATCCTTGACCATGCACAACTACGATGTCCACGACACGCACAATGCGTAATTGCCGCGAGCCCTTTATAAAATTGATTTCTTGTCGAAGTCAATCACACAAAAGTAGCTTGTATATAAGTCGTCAAAGCCATGCACAAATTCCTTGTGTGATTTAGAAACAAAACTTTATATATCTCATCATTCATTTACTCCTTAAATCGAGCATGCGGAAATTTTTCTGCAATGGTCTCTCAACAACTCTTTAAACATGATTGTAGTTGAAAATTCTAAAAGATACAAAGTATCCAATAATCAACCATGTGAAAATCTTGAATAAATACAAGTTTTGAGAAAATAATTATTCAGAGAACAAAGGAAAAAGTAGAATAAGGGGAAGAAGAAAAGTAAAAAAAAAGGTAATCACTTATCACATCCTTTTTATCAACCATTTTGACTTAAAATAATGGCTTCACTTTATTGGTAAAGGTAACAAACATATCCACCTGCCCGACAACAATTTCTGGTGACAATCATTTAAGGATGTGTCAACATGCCATGGTTGTTATAATGGATTTGCTTTAATGGACATTCTCATTTAAGATGGTTACTTATATTTAAGAATGCCTTGTGCATGCATGTTAATGAAGACATGGATGATCTGAATTTCACTAATTTATATAGCTAGATCTAGTTTGGCTAAGTTTAGGACAAAGGTTTGATATGGTATTGTTGTACTTTTCATTTTATATTTGTCAATGTTTAACAAATTTACTTATTAAAAATAATTTCAACCTCAAAACTAAAATAAGTAAATAGCTTATATCCAATTAAGAATAAGAAATTATTCAAGAATACATAATTGAGTTTTGCTGTAATTTAAGATTTGAACTCGTCCTCAATTAGTTGAGAAGACTTATATCCAAAGTCTTGTCACGATTTTAAAAGCCTGTTGGAGAGTGATTTTGAGAATTGATTTTTTGATTGTTAGGAGAAAAGTGGGGTCCGTCTGTGAAAGAAGAAGTCAAATATAACGGTTGAAATAGTGAAATAACGGTCAAAAAATCAATTTTTTGGGTGAAAAATCCAGCCCAAACAGGCCCTAAATTTTGTAATATTGATAACACATAAAACGACCATCAATTCGACCCTTGGGGAGTAACCAATTGTTGCAATTTTGAGAAATTATTTGATCATTACTACATAGCAAAATGTGGAGCATACCATAATGTCATGCAATGGAAAACAAAAAACTAGGTTCCAATGGAGCGGGATTAGGTACACCCTGCTGGGGCCAATTTTGATTTGTTCAAACTTTGCCCTTGATATGACTTTGCCTATTTGTGCATGTCTTTTTCCTCAATTAGCGGGGGCCAGGTTACCGTTATAATCGAATGCCTACACGTATTTATTATTTTTAGGATTCATCAATTACTTAAATACCCACTTCCCCCTTGCTTATTATTTTAGATGTGAGAGGAAGTAGAAGCGGATTGTATGTCTAAAATGGTAAAATTAGTTACCAAATTAAGAACACATATTTCGCCCTTTTTATCCACTGGGACCATCTTTACCATTTGTGTCCCCTAATTAATTACAGGTCTTTGTAGATTCAATTGAACAATAATCCTGTTATCGATCAAAAATTCAAATAATTTATTCTTATCAGATCTCAACGGTTTTAATTTCGCACCCGAAACTTGATTCTAATTCTCTCACTCTAGTTTCCATATTTTGTGTAAAAATTTTCGGCTCTTTTTTGGTTTGTTGCGCTAAGAGAACCTAACAACTTTTGTTTTAAAGCTTGTTTTGATTTTAGATAATTTCTGGAATCAACAAATCAAACTTTGAATTAGCCTCGTAACTCTCGTTTAAACCATAAAACGCAGTTTCAAACGGTTTTGGAAAAGCTTTTACGTTCATTTTTCGCTTTCACGAATATCAAAAAACCCTGGAAGAGCTTAGAGTTTTGGGGGTGCTTTCCTATTTCAATTTGAGGATTTTTTTTTGCTAGATAAATCCTGCTTTCTTGCATTTTCTCCTGAAAATTGCCTCTATTTTGACATGCGAATTAAGAAATAATGATTTCAATTGCTTAGACTTTTAATTTGGGAGAGGGTTTTAGGCTCATGTTTGGAACAATGCCTCAGGAACATTGTTCGAAATCCAAGCACCAAAACAACTTCTATGAAATCTGATAAAGATTTTGGGTAACGCAAACTATTAAAAATGCTGTCTATGTCTCCAAATTCAATGGCTCGTAGCTCCCTGGAGGAAATGCTGGATTCTCTCCGACGGAGGGATGAGATGGAAAAGCCTAAAGACATGCCCCCGGCCTTGCCAGTTCGGCCCAGAGCTGCCTCCCGGTCTCGGCTTCCCTCAGCCAAACGGTCGCTTCCCACAAACTTTAAAATTGGGGAATCGGAACTGCCAGATAGCTCATCAAATTGTAATGTTAAGAAGGAAGAAACAAAAGGGTCGAGAAGGAATAGTTTTGGGGCTAAAAAGATTAAGGAAATGGATCAGAGGGAATCGCCCTATGTTGTGGCGTTTAACGAGAAGAAATGTGAGAGGAGGTTGGAGGAGAAAGATGGTGCCGAGCTCGCCAGCTTGCCTCTGGGATCACTCCCGAGGCTTAGGGAGCCTGAGTGGGATGATAACCTTGGGTATTTCATTAAGAAGGTAACTAATGTGGTCAAATTTGTTGTTTGATTGAGTAATATGATTATGGGTTTCATTAGTGGGATTAAATGTTAATGTTATTATGGTTTTAATAATAGATCCATAGAACAAAATTGAGATGGGATGGCGTCTAATAGTTTAAGGTTTATGCATCTGTGCAAAGACAGAGTACATGCTCGGAATTTGTAATAAAGAGGATTTATTAATACCCATGCGTGGTAAACATTATACACTTGTAACTAGTTTTGTCTTTGATTTTAAATATTAACATAGGACCTTTTTCTTGTGGAGTGGTGCCTTTTGTTCTCTTTTTCCAGAGATATAGGTAAGTAAAGTATGCATATGAAGCCCCCCTTCAGTCCACTTGGTCTTGTGCATTGTTTATGTGTTAAAAATTTGCACTGTCTTTACATTTGAGATGTAGTTTTGGATGCTCGAGCATTTGACTGGGACGCACAACTTGTTAGTCTATCTAAATAATGAAGTTTTGAGTGTACTGTTGTCCCAAAATTAAAATTTTAAACCAACATTTATGAATAATTGAATATTATTATAAGGTATAATAATGGGTCAAGGCTTCTATGCTTATATTACTGAGAGTATTTTTTTGATAATATGAAAGATTGCTTTCAGCAACTCCTCATTTTCAAAGAGGTTATGTTTCAGAAACTTCGTGTATGGTGTCGGTGTCTAAACGGGCTATGGGAATCAGGGCTGATACAGTCAACTTCAGGAGACAAAGCTTTGATTTTGCTGTCAGATGGAAGTGTAAGCTCTGATTTTTTTCTTATTTTCTCAATATGTATGGTGAAGCTGAGAAACTCAAGATAGAGGATGTAGTAACTGTGTTTGTACTATAGGTTGTTACAGTGCCCACAGGGGAGCTCTTACCTGCAAATCCAGATATTGTTGAGGGTGTGGATGATCTTATACAACTTAGTTATTTGAATGAACCTTCAGTTCTTCACAACCTTCAACACAGATATTCTCAAGACATAATATATGTACGTATTGATTTGGCATTTATGCTATTCTCAACAAGAAAAAATTTGCGTGTCCATTCTTGAACTATTTCTCGTGTTTATTTTCTCAGAGTAAAGCAGGCCCTGTTCTAATAGCAGTCAATCCCTTCAAAGATGTCCACATTTATGAAAATGATTTCGTTACGGCCTACAGACAGAAGCTTTTGGACAGCCCTCATGTTTATGCTATAGCTGACAGTGCCTACAATGAAATGATGACAGGTGTTATAGAATACTCGAAAGAATTCTGAATATAGGCTTCTTATTGTTCATATGACACCTTTTGAAGACTTGCTCATTTACTTTTGCTGTAAATTGTGAATCTTGCAGATGAAGTAAATCAATCCATCATTATAAGGTGTGCTTGAATTGTCTTTAATTCTCCTTTCAACTGTAGCATTTGATGCTCCCATTTAGTGCTTCAATTTTGCTCCTTGGCCTTGTTTTGCTTTCATTGGATTTTATGCTTACATCTTTTAGTGTGTATTTATTTCGTCATAGTCTCTAGGAAATTAATAATTTCTATTTATAATTTCTAGTGGGGAGAGTGGTGCTGGTAAGACTGAAACTGCTAAGATTACAATGCAATACTTGGCTTCACTTGGTGGAGGTACGGGTGGGATAGAGTCTGAAGTGCTGCAGACAAGCTGTATACTGGAGGCATTTGGTAATGCTAAAACATCCAGGAATGATAACTCCAGTCGATTTGTGAGTTTCTCTATTGAATCTACTTTGGTTCAACAGTGAGACGCATACTGCATTTTTCTTAGCAGTAGACATTTAAATGAGTGGCTCAGACATGTTCGATTTGGTGCAGGGAAAGTTGATTGAAATTCAATTTAGTGCTACGGGAAATATAGGTGGTGCTAAAATACAGACTTGTAAGTTCATTTGTCATTGCCTAGTTGAATTTAGCTGACATTATCTTTTGTTTGGTGTTTGAGTCATATTTAACTAACCTTGACTTAAAAATATTTTGTGCTTGTCAAACAATGTCTCCTGAAATGGTGTAGTTCTACTTGAGAAGGTTGGTATTCTCTTTCTACTCATAATTCCATTTTATTTTCAACTTTGAACCTCTTTTGCGGACTAATTTTTTGTTTGTTTGTTTTTTTTTTTTTAAATTGGAGCAGTCAAGAGTGGTTCAGTTGGCCCAGGGAGAGAGGTCGTACCATATCTTCTACCAGCTTTGCGCAGGGGTTTCTTCTACTCTCAGAGGTTTGCTTTCAGCTCTTGCTCTGTTCTGATAGTGCTTCACCTTATCTTCCTCTCTATGCCTCTCCCTATATTTGTGTGGGGGATTTGATAGGGTGGTCTAGAATGGTGGTTGAATCTGAGTTTGTCTTATATTACTATCTTGTGTTACATTATGCATGAAACTTGCTGAGAGAATGTTACTATCCTTCAATACTTAGCAGTAAAGAAGTTCAGATAGTGTCCAGGTTTCTTTGTAATTGAAAATCTTGCAAAGTTATTAAAGGGTAAAAAGAATTCTGATGTCTCGGATTTTCGTGAGGGTCAAATTTATTTATTTTTTGGCATTTGGCAGCTAGCTAGCAATTCGATATTTATAGCTCTGTTCTATCGACTTCTTTTTTTCTTGGCAAGATGCATGACAGAGTAAACTCCCTGAAAAATTATAATTTCTCTTACTTAGCCGTGTCTGTGGTTTTATTTCAGGTAGATTGAGGTTAAAAAGGGCTTCTGACTACAATTATCTCAATCAGAGTGGTTGCTTGGGTATCAATGATGTTGATGACGCTCAGAAGTTTCACATCCTTGTGGTAATTTGAGAAAGTACCTATGAGTTTTTGCACTGTCTTATACAGTGATCAGCTCTCATCCTTCTGAAATTCCGTACAACTCACTGCACTATGGCCTTCAAAGCAACTTGAACTATAGAAAGCCCTTAAAATTGAAAAGAATAGAGTTTTTTGACTTCAGTTACTTTTTGAAAATTATTTTTGTAGCCTATTTGTCTCCTCATTACAATATGTTGTTGATTCAGTAATGGTTTTGTTTCACTAGGAGGCCCTAAATGCTCTCAGAATTTGCAAAGAAGATCAGGAGCATGCATTCGAGATGCTTGCTGCAGTGTTGTGGCTGGGAAACATATCCTTTCATGTGATTGACACAGAAAACCACATTGAGGTTGTTGCTGATGAAGGTTTGCCTCATTTTTCCTTTGGTTGTGCTTCCCAGCTCTTGTGTTTCTTCTATTTTATTACTATTGAAAAAATAAAAACTTATATTGATTAGCAAAGATGTTATATGTCAGTTGTCCTATTGCTGATGCTGTTATATTTGATGAACTTCCAAATGGAGACATAACATTATTACATAAATCATACGTAGCAGTCCAGTAACCTGATTGTTGTTTTCCTTTACTTGTGCTCCTGTTCATCTTATGTTATTTGATGACCTTATGCACATGGTTGGTGCCGTAGATATTTTATGCTGGTGGTTTTTGTGAGATATGTCTGTAGTAAAGTGAACAATATCAACTGGAATGAATTTTTTCACTGGATAAAGTTTGATTTGTGCTCTTCGATTCTCAAGAGGCAGCTTCTCCACTGAAAAACCAGTACTTTTTTTTTCTTTGAATGCTGTAAGCATCAAACGTGGTAAATTTTTATGTTTAAGTCTTGACTTTAATTTTTTAAATATTTTTCTTAATCTGTTCTTATATTTTCAATGTACCTCGGAAGGAAGCTTTGGTGGCTTCTTTTTCTCAACTCCTTTTTGAGCTGTTCCTCAATGACTGATAATATAATTCTTTGCTTTTGTTTGTTTTGTTAAGCTCTTCTTATAGATACTTAACATTCATGCCCCTTGATAAGTTGTTTTTACATGTTCAACACTAATGTTTGATTCATTTATAATTATTACACGTGGAGCACTTGTGCGGTATATTCTGTTTGTTTAAGCTTGTTTACATACGTTTTATATAATTGCTTTTATTTAGGTGCTTTGACTTAACTATGTTGGATATCTCTCTTATCTATAGCTGTTAGCAATGCTGCTAGCCTAATAGGCTGCAGTAAAGAGGACCTAATGCTGACTTTATCTACAAGTAGATTACAAGCTGGCAAGGATAAGGTTGCCAAAGGGCTAACTCTACAACAGGTGCATAAAATGCTTTACTTGTACTCTCATTAGACACACTAAAATGGCAGCTGCTCATTCTTGGAACAGGTCCTTTATTACCTATGTGCATAACAAACATGTTTACGAGTCACCTGGCCCCCATACAGTTTAATATAGTAAATCTACTGTCTCCAATTCAGGCAATTGACACAAGAGACGCATTGGCAAAATTTATCTACGCGAGCTTGTTTGACTGGCTTGTCGAAGAAATCAATAGATCACCTGTGATGGGCAAACATCATACTGGGAGGTCCATAAGTATTCTAGATATTTATGGGTTTGAGTCATTTCAGGTAATTTGGTAGATCTCCTTAGTCTTACTGCTATCCATAGAGCTTTGCAACTGTGTCTCACTCTTATTCCTTTTCTTGCTTCAGAAAAATAGTTTTGAACAGTTTTGTATAAATTATGCAAATGAGAGGCTCCAGCAACATTTTAATCGACATCTCTTCAAACTTGAACAAGAGGTAAGCTTCTGATATTGTTTGTAATGATTTTAAAAAATCTGTATGATGCATTCAGTCTCCTTATGTTCTGAAAAACACAAAAGGTCCTGTACGATATTAAAACCGTTGAGCATAGCACCATGCTGTTTTTATGATTCACATAGATTTTTTAGGCAATTGATTTTTATACAGACTGCAGACGTTTGCAAATTAACCTGCCTGGCATCCTAAGTTTCGTTTCCTGTGAACTTTCCCTTTTATATGGATTATCTATTTTCTTTATTGGGAGGTTAAGAACAACCCAACTAAAATCTGAAAGTTGACACACATTTATCAAATTTCAATGGTTGAACTAACAATGATGCTCATTTTTTTTAATATTTATTTATTTACTGTTTCAGGAGTATGAATTAGATGGAATTGATTGGACAAAAGTAGATTTTGAAGACAATCAAGATTGCCTGGATCTTTTCGAGAAGGTAATTTCTTTAATCCTTCAGGAGTCTAGTTGATTGGTTCTGGAGCTGTTTCTTCTGTTTACTTCATTATTTAACACAGTGAATTTAAATCGAGGGTCTGTTCCGAGGCGTGGCCAAGGCATTCATTCTTGTGATTAGAAGCTTTTAGTGAACCTTTTATGTACATCTCGATCTGTCTGCCTACATGTTCTTATTCTGTAGATGGATGCTTTTTTGCTTGTGGAATCATATCGATGTTGTTGCTGTGGCTCTTTATACTTTTCTGTCCGTCGATTTATTTCATCGCAATTTTTTTACAGAGACCTATTGGGCTAATAGCTTTGTTGGATGAAGAATCAAATTTCCCCAAGGCCAGTGATTTGACCTTTGCCACTAAGCTGAAGCAACACTTGAATGCCAGTTCTTGCTTTAAAGGAGAAAGAGATGGAGCATTTACTGTCCACCACTATGCCGGAGAGGTATGCCTGTCTCCTCCTCTCTGAACATTTCATAACTTCTCTTATAAAAATTAAACAGAAATGGGGATCTGTTAAGATTTGACTGGTTTACCGTGATAACTATTCATATTGTGTGGCTAAGGAATATTTGTATCAATCATGTTGACATCTCATGGTAGACTTTAATTTGTACATAATAGAAATTGTTCTTAATCTGTATTTGCACAGGGTTAGATATATGTGAATGTATTGCAAAAGGCCATTGCATAAAGTTAATTAAATGATTTTGCTAGCTTGATTGGAGAAATATTTTTAACTTGCATTCCCTTTCCCCATTCGAGTAATAAAAATCCATTTCTAATCCTTTCTTCTCTAATTTTAAGAATAGCTTCTGTTTTCTTTCTGAGTAACTCTTGTCAGTTAGTTCAGTGGATTCTAGTTCTCAAAAAATTGAATTTTTATTTGAATTTATCTTAACTATGAACTATTACAATTACGAGCAAATGCTGCCCATTTGGCAGAGTAGCAAAATTATCTTGGATGTATAAAATTTAAGTTTCTATGGTCTGGGCGATCTTAATTGAAAGTTATTAAGACATGTTTTAGCATAATTGTAATTTTTTTGAACGTTCTTAATTAGTTTTCCTAAGTGCTTCAAATATCATGAACAAGGGAATTATATTAGTGGAATTTTTTCTGTAATTATGAGAGTAAGAGTTTCATCATACCTCATGCCTTTTGATGGAAATATTTGATGTATCACTCCTGAAGTTATTAATAATGGCATCTCTGATGTAATAATTTTTTCCTTTAGACGACTTTGCCTTAAGTATTTTATCAGAGTAGATGAGTACCAGATGTACAACTGCCATTATTCTGAAAATGATATTTGCATGCGTCGGCCATTCATCCAGGAGTTGGATCAAAGGCAGTGAAAGATTAAAATTCAATAGCACTTCTGCTTACACATCCTACGCCTTGTTTTTTAAACTAACGTCGCATGCTTCCAGATAAATATTAAATACTTGATATGGGGACCTAATATACCCTATCAAACTTTTTCCTATAGTGTGTAGTTGAAATAACAATGATAATAAGCAAAAATAATTTTTTTTAAAAATGCTATTTGATTGTTTTGAGGTAGATTTTTGTAACATTTCTGAGTAACCCTAGGGCGTTTTCTTTAGGTTCTTTATGAAACTGGTGGATTCTTGGAAAAGAACAGAGATCCATTGCACTCTGATACCATTCAATTACTCTCTTCATGCACTGGTCGGCTACCTCATTTGTTTGCTTCTAAATGGCTTAATCAATCTCAGAAAGATGCAAGTTCATCAATCCTGCTGGGGATGTCGGCTCCTCAGAAGCAAAGTGTTGCAACAAAATTTAAGGTGAAAAATTTAACAGCTGTGCATATTCCCATCATATTGCTCTCCTCAGTCCCCACACATACGGTGCTCTCTATACACACGTTTCTCTCCCTACCCCCCCCCCCCTCCCGGCCCCCCCCCCCACCCCCCCCCCCCCCCCTCACCCCCCCCAAACAAAGAATGAAAAGGAGGAAACCAGACCTGATAACAATAGAAGAATCAAAAGCATAATTATTAGAATTTGCGGCATATTAGGGATTTCTGAAGCCTTTGAACCAATTCTCAGGATACAGCGACCTTCACAAGACTATATCTATATTTCCTTTAGCATAACCTTGTATGACTTCTGTGCTTCCAGAGTCAGCTGTTCAGATTGATGCAGCAGCTTGAAAACACGACTCCACATTTCATTCGATGCATAAAACCAAATAGTAAGCAGCTTCCTGGCACTTTTGAGAAAGGTCTTGTGTTGGAGCAGCTTAGGTGCTGTGGGATTCTAGAAGTTGTGAGGATTTCCAGATCTGGTTACCCTACTCGGATGACACATCAAGAATTCACAAGAAGGTGAAGTACTGGTTTTTTTATTTGCATTGACTTACTGTAATTACTTTGAAGCTCTTGATATATGCTTTAGTAATTTTCAGGTATGGGTTCCTACTTCCTGAGAGTAACACATGTCAAGATCCTTTAAGTACATCAGTTGCCATTATCCAACAGTTTGATATCCTTCCGGAAATGTACCAAGTTGGTTATACAAAATTATACTTCCGTGCGGGACAGGTGAGTTTATATTCTCATTTGAAGGCCTTTCGTATTTTCAGATTTTTTCTGAAGTAATTCATGGTCTTCTTGAATATCCATAGACGACCGGAACTTGAAAATATGCCTTTTATTAGTGTCCAGAAATCTAATATCATTTTCTGCTTCAGTTAGAAGTAAATATAAAATGTTACAAGTCAGGAAAACAGATGTATTTTTTTTTTTTTTTTTTTTTTTTTTTTTGACATGATTCAGATTGGTGTGGAAGCAGAATTGGAATTCTTGAAACAAGAATAATGTAGAAAGCTAGAAACTATGTAGGAAATAATTTTTTAAATGGAATTGATTAAATTGAATATTGAGAAAGTGTACAAAGCCTTTATATATATAGGCAAGATAGTTCCCTGAACTGATTGAATTGAATTTTGAGAAAGTGTACAAAGCCATTTTGTGTATATAGGCAAGATTATTCCCTATTCTTACTAATATAAGGAAACTAAAATTAAAAAACTAATATAAGGAAACTAAAATATAATCCTATTCTAATCAATAAAGAGAAGAAATCCTATTCTAAACAAGAAATAAGAATAAAAAGATAAAATATATTACAACTAGACATCTTATTTTAAATATCTAACTTTTATCCCATTTACAATAGTATTGTCCTACATCACAGATCTTTGCTGCCTTCTAGAATTATTGTCATTTCAAATCAGATTCGCATGAAGTTCATATTTTCTCCACCTCTAGTGATTCACTTACGCTTCCATTAGAAAAGTTCTTGTAGATTGCTTATTTGAGGGTAAAAAAATCCCGTAGAATTAGATTTCTAATATTCTGTTTCGATGAATTATAGATTGGTGTGCTGGAAGATGTTAGGAAACAAGTTCTGCAAGGAACTCTTGAGGTACAGAAGTGCTTCCGCGGTCATCGGGCTCGTCTATATTTCCATGAGCTCAAGGGAGGAGTACTAGCATTGCAATCATGTATGGCAGGCTGCTATTACATTGTTTACGGTCTCTAAATTAATTGTTTGCCCTTTAGGAGATAATTTTAAATAAATTAATTATTTGCCCTTTAGGAGATAATTTTAAAAGATAAATTTTTTTTGGTCTGATTTTTATAAAGCCTTGCTACATCAGCAAATATCTACGTTTTGGGGCATGCTAGCATTGCAGTCATGTATGGCTGACTGCTATTACACTGTTTACAATCTCTGAATTAATTATTTGCCCTTTAGGAGATAATTTTAAAATATAAATTCTTTTTGGTCTGATTTTTATAAAGCCTTGCTACATCAGCAAATATCTACGCCAGTCATGTATGGCAGATTGCTATTACACTGTTTACAGTCTCTGAATTAATTGTTTGCCCTTTAGGAGATAATTTTAAAAGATAAATTCTTTTTGGTCTGATTTTTATAAAGCCTTGCTACATCAGCAAATATCTACGTTTTGGGGCACACTGGCGTTGCAGTCATGTATGGCAGACTGCTATTTCACTGTTTACAGTCTCTAAATTAATTGTTTGCCCTTTAGGAGATAATTTTAAAAGATAAATTCTTTTTGGTCTGATTTTTATAAAGCCTTGCTACATTAGCAAATATCTACGTTTTGGGGCATACTAGCGTTGCAGTCATGTATGGCAGACTGCTATTACACTGTTTACAGTCTCTAAATTAATTGTTTGCCCTTTAGGAGATAATTTTAAAAGTCTGATTTTTTTAAAGCCTTGCTACATCAGCAAATATCTTTGTTTTGGGGCAGATTGGCATACTCTTTCCATAATATCATATATCCTTTCCTTTGACAAAACCTTCACTTAAGATTTCCCAGTATTAGTTGTCATTGGTTGGATCCAGAACTGACTCTCTGGCTCCTGGCATTGCTTCCTCAAGTTATGCAATAACAATTTGCTTTTATTCTTATCATGAAATTTTTAACTCTTGCAGTTGTTCGCGGAAATATTGCCAGGAGAGAATATGGTGCTTTGCGTAGGTTGAATGAGCAGGTTGCTCTGAAAAGGATAGAAGAGCATGTTGTTCAAATACAATCAGGTAAGTTTTGTGTTTATTTTATTATGCCTTTAACCAATTGAGTTACTAACTGGCACAGCTAACACATTCTAGTGCTATGCATTATCTTCTGCAGTAATTCGTGGATGGTTGGCTCAAAGGCATTTTAGTCAGCTTCAAAATTCGAAAAATATAAATCTTTGCAAATGGAGACAAGGCAGGAAGAGTTCAGAAGTTAAGGTATTGATGTCATAAAGTTAGACAACTAGTTCTGATATGGGTTTGCAAGGAAACTTGAACACATGATCTTTATGTGATGCGATACCATTTTAAATAACCTTATCTAAAAGTTTAAGTTGATAGAGAATGGATGAATTTACTTATTTAAATCTAGTCTTGAACAAAATGGTGCAATTCTACTTTTAAGATGAGTGTGATATCTGACTTAATTGTCAAAGCAACAATGTCAGGTACAATAGTATAATTCGAACTTGAATGATGTAGCAATGCATGTTGGTAGTACGGTTATGTTGTCTAATACTTCTGCTTAGATAGAATTTGAAAAGGGGCTGCACGTATGTTTTAGCTCACTAAAATGAAAATTGGTTATGAAAATAAATAATTGCCTCCACTCCCAGAAAGAAAAGAATAATAAATAAGTAAATAAAAGTCACTTCGTTAAACCATAAATCACAAGTAGAAATAGATTGTGAAGTAAATTCTACTCTTATTGGTTGAGCAGGATCTATCACAAGAAATGTTACCTTCAGTAGTTGAAGAACTTCAAAGACGGGCATTGATGGCAGAAGCGACCCTCGAGCTAAAGGAAAAGGAAAATGCATCTCTGAAAGATCAAGTACACCAATTTGAGGTACGGTGGTCAGAATATGAAGACAAGATGAAATCAATGGAGGATGTTTGGCAAAGGCAGATGGCATCTTTGCAGGTGAGTCTTTTATGATCCTATCCACTGATCTTCCGATAAATAAGAGACAGTCTTAGTAATTATATTTTCATTTATGTAAGTGCAAATTATGTTAAATTTCTAACATTCAGTGCCGTTACTCTGTATTATTATCATAAATTTTGGAATCACGCTTCGTGCATTAAAGTGACAAATGAACTAAATGTCCTCACATATTGACCTAAACGTGAAGTCACAGACAGAATTTCAAAATTTGTTGGTGTTGTTTCTCCTCCAGTGCTATTTCATGCGACGTTCAAATTAAACAGTTAAAAGCTATTGAACCAATAGGCTGTAGATAAACAAGAAAATTTGCAGTCTATTTCGGGAGTTATCATGTGCTATTATGTTAAGGAGGCAGTTGTCAAGTGAACATATAGGATGGTGAGAGGCCATGAGTGTCTATACTAATATTACCTTGGCATGCTTATAATAATGGAGTTATTTTCTATTTTATCATTCACAATTGTTTAACATAGAATGGCACAATATAGGGATATGAAAAACCATGTCTTATCCCATTGTATGTTGTCAGTACTTTTATGTACAAAAGGTTTCTAATGAAATTAAACCTGTTTTACGTTGCAGATGAATTTAGCTGCAGCCAAAAAGAGTCTTGGCGCTGAGAACGCCATGGGTCTACCGGGAAGAGATGGTTCTCCGTCACCTTGCTATTATGATTCTGAGGATACATCTATGGGAACACAAACTCCCGGAGGTAGCACTCCCATGAAATTTGCCCACAATGGTTTAGAACTTGGGGTCAGACAGGAGACAAATGGTGGTTTAAATGCAGTCAATCCACTCTTGAAGGAGTTTGAGCAAAGAAAACAAAATTTCGATGATGAGGCTAGAGCAATTGTTGAGTCCAAGTCAGGGCAGTCACCTTCCCTGAATGCCGGTGAAGAATTTAGGAAACTAAAACATAGATTTGAAGAGTGGAAAAAAGACTACAAAGTTCGATTAAAGGAAGCAAAGGCAAAAGTACACAGGTTAGGGAACTCTGAAGCTGACAAACATCGAAGAACATGGTGGGGAAAGAAGAGCAAAAAGTACTAGCATTGAATTATTTCTCTGTTGGATTTCAGCGAAACTGCTGATTATTTTGAGATTTCCTCTGTGAAAGCACATCTGCGTTGTTTCAGGATTGTCCATACTGTAGAATCTGTGAGGTGGAGACTAGGAGAGTGGTTGTGTGTATATTAACCCCTTCTGTTGTCTGGAAGGGTCAGTATGTAGCTCATAAGAAAACGTGATTTCTGTTGATTTACTTCCATTTGTCATCCCACCCCTAGATCAATTAAGATTAGTTTTAGCCTATGCCTGTATAGTGAATTGTTGAGGATTTAGTCTCAGAACTCTCGTCTGTATTAGTTAGTGCTGAAGAACAGGTAAGAGGTGTTCATATTCTCTTCAATACGAAATAGCAAGTCTTCTTTAAATCATTTAATTCGCTTTGTAGCTTATGCTGATAACTACATGATTTAATTAGACTCGACCAGACAGCAAAATGTTCAAAAATTACCCATCAGATGATCTTCTTGCTTCTCTGTTTTCTTTTGCCTGTTAGTCGTATTGGTTGTTAAATAATGCTGTGGGCTATTTATTTTTAACTAGGATAAAAGGTTGCTTTGTTATGGATTTCTTGGTCAGATCATTTAACTGTTTGGATTGTGGATAATAAGGTTCTTTCGGTTTTGCTGATTTAACTTGATAACCGACTTGAGAAATCAATATTTGTATTATAACTACACAATTTATGCATTACATTGAGCAAATAAATCTGGATTTATGATCCTGGCACAAACTTGGTGGCATAGACCCATGCATTGTTAGCAGTCGAGGTGGTCCAACAGGTTCTCGAGAGGTCCTCTTCCAGTGACAATAGCTTGAACGAAGAATCTGAACATGGAGAACACTGCCAATCTTCCGTTCTTGATTTCCTTCACTTCGAGCTCAGCAAAGGTGACGGGGTCATCAGCAAGGCCAAGAGGATCAAAGTATTGGCCACCGGGGTAAAGGTCGTTGCCCTCTCCAACTCCGGGAAGACCATTGATTCTGAATCCTTCAACAAGTCCCATTAGAACAACTTGGAAGCCAAGCACCGGAAGAATGCTTCAAGCATGAACAAGATTAGGGTTGCACAAATAGTCTAATCCTCCTCCAGAGAAGATTTGAGCTCCAGCCTTGAACCAGACTGGCTCTTTGAAGTCCACTTTAACCCATTTTTCAAGAACTTCAGGGGTAATGCATCCTAGTGCTCCAAGCATTGCCCATCGCCCATAGATGTCCTGGTAAGTAAATTTTTTTCAACTACTATAATTGTCAAAATATTGTCATTACTCCAGTTGAAAAATCATATACCTCAAGTGCCCCGTTCCTAGCAAAGGCATCGGGTTCAGACGATAAACCAGCAGTGTCCCATCCATAGTCACTCGGGAATTCTTTGGTCATTTATGACGGAGTGATAGGACCCCAACCTATGAAGCTGTGATTCTCACTTGTGAGAGAGGAATTAAAATCTGGAAATGTAACAAACAACAAGTGAAGGTATAGGGAATAGAAAATAATTCTTTATTGCAATTGAATAACGGAAATATAACCCACAGGCAATTCGAGGGGCCTAGATTCCCTCCTAACAGAAGAACTCACTAAAACAATGCCTACTTTTCCCTCTCTCCAAGACCATTTATAGACGTTCTAATCTACCACTATTACTCTTTTACCCCCGCCCCCAGCTACTAGCTTACATGAATATTCTGGAATGAAAGTTGACGAGGCTGCCTTGTATCCTTCTTCCCTCTTCTTGCGTAGGTGAATTGTATTGTGGGTCTATTATTGCTCGCTGCTCCAAAATCCACCTTGTCCTCAAGGTGAAAGCTAGGGAACTACTTTCGTATGGCTTCAATGGCTCCCAGGTTGCCTCAGATTCTGGGAGATCTTTCCACTTGATCAAAACTTCTGGCTCCCCATTTCTGTCAATGACACAGGGCCTAATTTCCATCGTTGCCTCTGGTTCAAAAACAAGTTCTCCTTCAGTAGTGAGATGCGACGACAGGGAGGAGATAGGTTGAGAGATACCGATCGCCTTTCATAGTTGGGACACATGGAACACAAGATGTATGGCTGTAGTGGGAGGTAGGTTAAGCTTATAAGCAACGGTACCCACCTTAGAGATAACTCAAACGACCCATAGTATCTTGGGGACAGCTTTTCACATGATCTTCTTTTCACCGACTTTTGTCGGAAAGGACGTGGCTTAATGTACACTAGCTCACCCACCTCAAATTGAATATCACGTCGATGCCCATCAGCCATTTGTTTCATCCTCAGTTGAGCCCGGGAAAGTTGAGCCTTAAGTTCATGTAAAATCTCATCCCTTTCTAGTAAAAGCTGTTCCACGGAAGAATTAGCCGTAAGACCTTTCTCAAAGTGTAATATTGGCGGGGGATCAAGACCGTAAACGATTCAGAATGGAGTATGCTGGGTAGCAGTGTGAAATGATGTGTTATACCAAAACTCTGCCTAAGGAAGATACTGACTCCAAGTGCGTGGCTTGTTAGCTGCAAAACACCTCAGATAGGTCTCCAGGCATCAGTTAAGCACCTCCGTCTGGTCATCCGTCTGAGGGTGGTATGCAGTGTTGTGTTTTAGAATAGTCCTTCGTGCTTTGAACAATTCCGCCCAGAAGTTACTCATGAAGATCCGGTCCGTCTGACACAATCGACTAGGGCATGCTATGCAAACGGACAATCTCTCGTATGAATACCTCAGCAACCCCGGGAGCATTGAAGGGGTATTTTAAACCGATGAAATGACCATATTTACTCAAATGATCCACCACAACTAATATAGCATCCATCCCCCCTGACATGGGTAGCCCTTCAATGAAGTCAAGTGAGATATTGTCCCAAATTGAGTTCGAATTAGGGAAAGTCTGTAACAGCCCATAAGGAGACAGCGCCATGTACTTGTTCTATTGGCATATGGCGCAGTTAGCCACATAATCCTACACTTCTGTTTTCATCCCCAACCAATAAGCCTCACGTGTAACCCTTTTATATGTCTTAAGGAAACCGGAGTGCCCGCTTATCTTGGAATCATGGCCTTCCTGCAATATGGTTGTGACAAAAGGAGATTTTTTAGGAAGCACCAGCTACCCTTGATACCTTAGTAACCCTTCTGCTAGTATAAAACCAGGTTTCATTAGAAGCCCCGACTGTATGTCATTCACCAACTTACCCCATACATCATTTGCGACAATAGCTCATTTGAGCTCTTCTAAATGTAGCGACCTGGGAGTAGAGATCATCAAGTTACTGAGGGTTGGTTCAACCTGAGAAAGAGCGTATGCAGCCTTGTTTTGTACCCCAGGTTGATATTGGATATCGAAACTGTACCCCAACAATTTGGTTAGCCACTTTAGATGCTCTTTTCCAACAAAAACTTCAAACTTCTTTGATTCGTCCGTACAACAAAGTGTCGTCCCAATAAGTAATGCCGCCATTTCTGAACGGCAAACACAATTGCCATTAATTCCCGCTCGTAGACTGATTTTTTTCTTGCATTAGACGGAAGAACATGGCTGTAGTAGGCAATAGGGTAATGGTTGTGCATCAGCACACCTCCTAGTCCATGCCTTGAAGCATCAATTTCAATGACGAACTCTTGTAGAAAGTCAGGCAACACGAGTACGGGGACATCTGTCATGGCTGCCTTCAGTTCTTGGAATGCTCTCTCTGCCTCATTACTCCAAAAGTATCCATTTTTCTTAAGGAGCTTGGTTAGTGGCCATGCGATCTTGGCGTCCTCGCCAATAACCTCCTGTAATAGCCTATCAAACCAAGGAACCCTCGGAGCTCCTTGACGTTGCGTGGCGTGGGCCAACGGATCATTGCTTCAATTTTACTCTGATCGGCTGCCACTCCTTCCTCAGATATGACGTGACCCAAATATTCAATCTTCTGCTGTCCAAATACACATTTCTTCGCATTGGCAAACAACTTATGCTCCTACAGGCTTTATTCAAACGCTGGCAATGTTCCTCTATCGTCCCACTGTGTACCAAAATGCTGTCAAAGAAGACCAAGTACAAATTTCCTTAAAAAGGGTCTGAAGATCTCATTCATCAAGTGCTGGAAGGTAGCTGGTACATTTGTTAACCCAAAGGGCATCACCAAGAACTCGTAATGACCCTCGCGAGTTCAGAAAGTAGTCTTGGGGATGTCTTCTGCCTTAACCCTGATCTCATGGTGTTTTGACTTCAAATCTAGCTTAGAAAATACTCGGGCTCCATGTAATTCATCCAACAACTCATCAATTACCGGTATTGGGAAGCGATCAAGTATTGTAACCTTATTGAAGGCACTATAGTCCACGCAAAAGCGCCAACTCCCGTCCTTCGTAACCAGTAGAATCGATCTCGAGAATGGACTACGACTGGGTTGTATAATTCCTGTAGCTAGCATCTTCCGAACCAACTTCTCAATTTCATTTTTCTGGGCATAAGGATAACGATAGGGTCTCACATTGACTGGTGCTGTCCCCGGTTGCAATGTAATGGCGTGATCCCTTGTTCGTTTTGGAGGAAGCTCGTAGGATCCTTCAAATACCCTACCATATTCCTTCAACAACTGCCTGATTGTATCAGGCAGCTCAATCCCCATTTCCTCAGAGACCACACCGAAACTCCCCAATTCCAGCAATACCCCTTGCTCCCCATTCCTAATGGACTTCACTATCGACTTTAGGGACACTTGTGATTTATCCAAATTGGGGTCTCCTCGCAACACAATGGTTTCTTCCCCTACCTTAAAACGCATAGTCAATGCTCCCCAGTTTACTTGCATCTTCCCCAAGGTTCCCAACCTCTTCATTCCCAGGATCACATCTGTGCATCCCAACTTTAACAGTAGGAAATCTTCCACTACATCAATCTGTGGTAGAGACACTACCACTCCTCGACACACTCCACCTCCATTGACCGCGAGCCCTGTTCCCATAATGACTCCATAATTGTGCATACTAGTGATGTTCAACCGAAGTTTCCGAACCAACTCGTTCGAAATAAAATTGTAGGTAACACCACAATCAATCATCACCACCATGCTCTGTCCCAAAATGGAACCCTGAAGCTTCCTTGTTTGAAGCGCAGAGAGGCCAACCACCGATTTAATGGATAGTTCAATCAACTCCTCCAGTTTATCACCTTCTTCCACTTTAGGTGCTTCCATTTGCTCCATCCCATTCTCTTCTTATACCACGAGCACCTACAATTCCCTATTTGTACATTTATGATCGGGCTTAAACTTCTCATCGCAGTGATAGCAAAGAGCCTTGTCCCTCTTCTTCTGCAGCTCAGCATCGGTAAGTCTCTTAAAGGGAGACGCCGGCTTAGCTACAGTCACTGGTCGCGGCATCAAAATTGCTGCTGACTTGGAGTTGGCTATTGTTGCTATCGACGACTTCAGATGTAGAGACGTTGGGCTGAATTGGTGATAGGGGCTGCTTGACGAGACTATACAACTGCCTTTAGACATAATTGGGCTTGCCCTCAGATGGGCTCATTTCAAGGACTCATTCCTATCCTCCACTCTTTGGGCCAATTCCATGATTTGGCCCAACACCTGGGGCCTAATCATCCACACTTTAGCACGTATTTATGGGCTCAACCATTTATGAAATTTCCCTCCATCACTAATTCAGGAATTGTCGAGAAGGGCGCGGCCAACATCTCAAACATCCTACCGTATTCCTTCACAGTGCCCTCCTGTTTCAACGCTAAGAACTTCTCTAAAGCTGTCCCTTCATGCGAAGGACAAAAATGATCTAATAGAAGAAGCTTCATGTCTTTCCAGGTTCTCATGGGTTGTCGACTCTCCTCCCACTGATACCATGCCAGTGCTTCTCTTTCAAAATAGACGGCAGCAACTTTTACGCGTTCCCAGTTAGCTAGTCGATTCATGTTAAAGTACCTATTAGCCCAAAAAAATCCACGCATCAGGATCTTCGCCATTGAACACTGGCACTTCCAATCAATGGCCTCTCATTCTGCCTTGATCCCCTTCATCTCGCTGTCCCCGAAATTCAGTGTTCTCCCCTGAACCTTGAAAGGCGAGAGGATTGTCCTGGTTCGTAGTAGTGCTAGGTGAATTGGTCTCCACCCCTTCTCCTTCCCATCACGTTCCAACCCAACCTATCCCACTTCTTCATCATCAAACTGAATTTCTCCAGTAACTCTAATACCTCTGTTCTCATGGCTTCCATTCCCGCTTGCATCCATTCTACCCGTGTTTTCAATGCATTAATACCAATAGTGAGTGTTATTTTCCAAGGTGATGCTCTGATACCAAATTGATAGGACCCCAACCTATGAAGCTGTGATTCTCACTTGTGAGAGAGGAATTAAAATCTGGAAATGTAACAGAGAGCAAGTGAAGGTATAGGGAATAGAAAATAATTCTTTATTGCAACTGAATAATGGAAATACAATCCACAGGCAATTCGAGGGGCTTGGATTTCCTCCTAACAGAAAGGCTCACTAAAACAATGCCTACTTTTCCCTTTCCCCCCAAGACCTTTTATAGACGTTTTAATCTACCACTATTACTCTTTTCCCCCCCCCCCCCCTTCCAGCTACTAGCTTACAGGAATATTCTGGAATGAAAGTTGACGAGGCTGCCTTGTATCCTTTTTCCCTCTTCTTGCGTAGGTGAATCATATTGCGGGTCTATCACGGAATCTGAGCCGAGAAGGGTCCTAAGTATTTGACACAGTCTGGTCCATACCATAAATCATTAACCTGTCAAATATAAGAAAGTCACTTCATCATGCACAAACATTTCTTTGTTTTTTCTTATGGGGTTTGAGGAAGAACATACCATTGTGTATTTGCCACTTCCCATGGATACAACATCCTTAAGAGGATTAGCATTCCTGGTTTGGTCCAAAAATGGAGTTGCCTTAAGAACAGTGGTGGAACTGGCAACGACAGCCATTGATGCAGTTGAGCTGTTGTTGGAATACAGAATGTATTAGTGATGGACACTGGCTTTGTGTAATTGTGTGTTAAAGACAGTGGGACTCATTGATGATCGGTAAAGATTGCATACATGGAAATTGTGGCTGCTGATAATTACATGTACGTCATCATTCATCAACCAATCACAAGGCATCAAAAGAGTACAAGTATCTCTAACTCCTCCATCTATCCGCAATTCTCTCTTTTTCTATGAGTTAGTTTTTACAGGCCATAAAATTAAAGTTTTTGTACAAAACCGAATGATAAAAGGCCAAGTGCATTTTCTTTTTCTTCCTTAATATTATCATGTCTGGTACTGTTCCCTTATCCTTTTTTTAGGTTCATTAGGATTCTTATTGGTTGGAACTTCCAGTTATCTTGGTAGAAATTTGATATCTTTTTTTCCGTCTCAGTAAATCATTTCTGAATATGCAACAGCAATCCAAGGTCGCATACCCAGACGGAAGCTAAGCTCCCACTCATGACCCATGTAACAAGCTACACCAAGTAAGAAGCGTAGAACAATTAGTTCATAAGGACCCCTATTGTATAACCATTCATCAACGGATGCCGCTTCCCAGATTGGGTAAAAGTGCAAACACCAAGCATTCTTCTTACGGCTAGATCCAATCTCCTGGTCCCTGCGGAAAGGAAAAAGAATTTCACGCTCTTCCTTTCGGGAAGGGAGGATTAGGGAAATCCTCAACAAAAGCAGCAAAAAAGACAGCCGCGATACTACTGGAAAGTACGGTTTCAATATTTCCCATACGTAATCCTTTATATAGACGTTGTGGCGGGCGGACGCTAAGACAAGCTAAATCTTCTAATCGATAATTAGGCCAAAGAAGGAACTTCAATTTCATTAATTGATTTATCTCTCTATCAAGGTGATTACTGTCATCTAGAACTTGGCTGCTATTCTTTTCGTTGCAAAATACATGATTTCTATCTACATCATTCCTATTCTTTGAATTGAAACAAATTTCTATCGGTCAACTATTCAATCAAATGATATTGAGCATGTTTCCCATCTCTTCTCGAGAAATAAGTGGGCTATTTCTTTGCAAAATTGTGCTCAATTTCATATGTGGCAATTCCGCCAAGATCTCTTCCTTAGTTGGGGGAAGAATCCGCCCGTACCTAAATGGGCGCCAAATTCGGACCGAACCTGTCAGGCTACTGTTCCCTCGCAGTTATGGAGTAAGACATCGATTTCTCAATAAGATGCGTTTTTTTGATTGTATGATTGACCCCCCTGAAAAACATTGGCGAGTTTGTTAACGAGGTGCTCTACCAACTGAGCTATAGCCCTTAGTGCTTGTGATACATATTTCAGTCCACTTACCGAGCATGCTAGTATTCACCACTTGTGTGAAAGTGTCAAAAAGAACTGCATAAATTTCTCTCTCTCTCTCTCTCAAGTAGGGCACTGTAAATACAAATAGAGCTGAGAGAAATTAAAGATAGTCTGTACCGAAAAGGAAATGAAATTAGTGTAGTACAATGGTAAAAGGACAAAATGCGGTTAACATCCATCGTACACGCGACCTTCAGACCTTGAGTCAGACAATCTGCATATTGAAACTCTTCTAATCGTAAGTCACTATGGAACAAGTATATTATTATATCATTTGGCAATACTAGGTCTAGCACTCAGTCTCCACGACATCATATACAAAATTTTAATTTCTTATTGATTTTTGGTGTTGCCTAGTATTATAGAGTCTCATCGTACTACAGACATATAGTTAAATGGCATTTGAATTAATTATTAAAAGAAGTGCAAATTTTCATGTTAATGAGCCAAATTTTAACTTAATATTGAGACCAACAATTACGAAATCTATTTCAAATTACATTATTTAATTATTTCCATCACTATTTTGTGTGTCGGACAGCTTCGTTCCGTAGCATTTAAGGAAAGTTGACAGATCACCGTCATGGCTTCATCTTTTTCTATTTATTATTAATTAATATTGTTTATGGCTAGATTTAAGGTTTAAGAATAAATGTATTATTTGCAAGGTGTTTATAAATTAGTGACGAAAAAGTACTTACGAGTTTAATAAAATAAAATGTAATTCGATCAAAAGTATTTATAAACGCATAAAAACGACAAGCGAAATATATGTCAAGTCCTTTTTTGAGCTCCATTTTAATGAGGTTTTAGGGAAAAATGTATTTTGAAATAGTAATTTTATGAAGAATGTGCGATTAAAAAGACAGAAAGAAAAAGAAAAATTTTGAATTTATTTGTAATATTATTTTATTGAAATATGTGATTGAGAAAAAATAAATAATAATGGGAGCCCAAACACGGGCCAAGATTCCTTTTCTAGTAGCATTTTCAATAGGACACAATATTTGGACGGTTGAACAAACATGTGTCCAACTCCTAATTGTTGGTAACATGTTCCCCACATGTACCTACCTGCTCTAACCTTTTATTTTCGCAAATGACTAATCGATTAAGTCAGAACAAATTCTATAAGTTTTCGCACGGGTCTCTTTATAAATCCTTATTGAATGCTTGCTTGGTCGGAATTTTGTTAATTGATTTTTTGATCGTTAGAGGTAAATTGGGTTTTATCTGTGAGATAAGAATTCAAAAATAATTATTGGAATAGTGAAATAACGATAAAAAAATTAATTTTAATTGAATTTTAAACTGTACCAAACATGCTCTTAATTTTTGTTTGGCTTCCATTTCTTAAAATTCCTTTTTTCTTAAAATTTATTTTTAACTATACATTTCATAGAACCTGCAACTTTTGTTGACTTTACATGTACACATTTCACAAACATTTATTAAAATTTTCGTTTTTATCATAGTATTAGAGAGTCGTTTGATAAGATTTTTGAAAATTTAAAAGTTGCTTCTACCTTATGATCAAGTTCCTTTGACCTTAATTTTGTAAGAAAATACATGAAAACTAGCTGTATATAGGAACATATATGTGATCCATTCGCCACCTTTTTCTCTCTACCACCTCTCTTCTCTCTCAATCTTTCTACCCTATTTTCTAGTTTATATATATTGTTTTCTTACCATACACTTTTTTATTCTTTCATTTCTCTCCTCTCACAACAAGAAAGAAAAGCCAACATATTCTCTCCCATCATCAACAGTAACGTCGATCATCACCTGACCGGTCGAGACGACACGTCGACTATGGCGCGCCGTCTCTTCACCTGTTTTGGCAAAGGCTCCTCGCATCATAAGCGAGAAATTTCGTACGAAAATACCACGTCGGATATGACGGTGGAGGAGCAGCGGAGAGGCGGACCGGTGGTGGTGGAGCTCTTTTCATCACAGGGCTGTGCTACCTCTCCAGAGGCGGAGCTGCTCTTCTCACGGCTAGGGAGGGGCGATTTCAACCTTGAGGTGCCGGTGATATTGTTGGCTTACCATGTTGATTATTGGGATTATATGGGCTGGAAGGACCCTTTTGGGTCGAGCCAATGGACTGTGAGGCAAAAGGCCTACGTTGAGGCCCTGAACCTTGATACAATGTTCACACCCCAAATTGTGGTCCAGGGTCGGGCCCAATGTGTTGGTAATGATCAGGATGCTTTGTTATCCTGCATCGCGTCGGCACCGCGAGTTCCTGCTCCCTCGTTCCAGGTTAGCAAATTTTATTACATCTATATTATGAGTGATGATTGGTGTATAGATTCATGGTTTACAGAACTCTTACCAACACTTCACATGGGGGGTGGGGAGAGAAGAGTGGGTTAATTTTTTAACATTATTTATTCATGTGGGACCCATATTTTTATGAGAGTATGTACACATTCTGTTAAAAAAATGAGAATTTTGGGTAAAATATATTTTGAAATAGTAATTTTTAGAAGAATGTGTGTTTAAAAAATTATTTTTTTTTAAAATTTATGTTTAATATTATTTTATTAGAGAATGTGCGATTAAGAAAAAGAAAGTAAAAAATGTACTAAAATTTTAATGGAAGCCAAACAAGAACATAAATTATCTAACATAATATTTAAGAGACCATGTTTGGGATAGATTAAAGTTAAATTTTTAGTGGATTTTTATAAAAGTTAATGAAATATGTCGGGATGACAAAAATCGCCACCTCGCCTCAATTGGACGCCCCCCCGACAGGTTGGCGGAGCAGCGTGGGGAAGGGAGGCCCCGAACCCGCCCCTGTGAAGAGAAAAATAAAATAAATAAATAAAAATAGTAAAAAAAACAATAAAAAAATAAATGGGGGTGGGGCGGAGTTTGGTGGGACGGCCTCGCCCCAAATCTGCTCCGCTCCGCTGCCATCACTAAAAATATATGATTGAAAAGTTGTAAGCCATGCAATGCGTAATTAAAATTAATTATTGATTTCAACTCAAAATTACCATCAACTTCTAGTCTATATTAAGTAGGGCCTAATGTAATGGTTGCATTCTATCATGAAATTATCTGGTTTTTTATTATTTTATTATTTATTAGTGTTTGCTTAGTCCTTGTTTGGTTCATTTGAAAAAGTTGATAAAATCTAAGTCAAAATCAACAATTAATTTCAATCTCATATTTCATCAACTTTCATCGAAATTTGCTAAAAATACGAATTTTTGCTACACCAAACATAGTTTTAGTATACAAATAATTGTATGCAATTTTCATTTGTGTATAGCTTAATCGAAATTCATCGATCACATCACTTAATATTCCTATTACCAGCGTTGTGGCGGGCGGACGCTAAGACAAGCTAAATCTTCTAATCGATAATTAGGCCAAAGAAGGAACTTCAATTTCATTAATTGATTTATCTCTCTATCAAGGTGATTACTGTCATCTAGAACTTGGCTGCTATTCTTTTCGTTGCAAAATACATGATTTCTATCTACATCATTCCTATTCTTTGAATTGAAACAAATTTCTATCGGTCAACTATTCAATCAAATGATATTGAGCATGTTTCCCATCTCTTCTCGAGAAATAAGTGGGCTATTTCTTTGCAAAATTGTGCTCAATTTCATATGTGGCAATTCCGCGAAGATCTCTTAGTTGGGGGAAGAATCTGCACAAACGGATTTTTTGAGGAACGTATCAAGAGAGAATTTGATTTGGTTAGACAATGTGTGGTTGGTAAACAAGAATCGGTTTTTTAGGAAGGTACGGAATGTATCGTCAAATATTCAATATGATTATACAAGATCTAGTTTCATTCAAGTAACGGATTCTAGCGAACTGAAAGGATCTTCTGATCAATCCAGAGATTATTTGGATTCCATTAGTAATGAGGATTTGGAATATCACTCATTGATCAATCAAAGAGAGATTCAACAACTAAAAGAATGATTCTTTGGGATCCTTCCTTTCTTCAAATGGAAGGAACAGAGATAGAATCAGACCGATCCCCGAAATGCCTTTCTGGATATTCCTCAATGTCCCGGCTATTCATGGAACGTGAGAAGCAGATAATCATCTGCTTCCGAAAAAAATCGAAGAATCTCTTGGGAATCCTACAAGATCCGTTTGTTCTTCATATGGGTTTGAATCCTACTGAGAGGTCCACTAGAGATCAGAAATTGTTGAAGAAACAACAAGATCTTTTTTTTGAACTTTCCAGGCGATCAAAAAATAAAGAAATGGTTAATATATTCAAGATAATTATGTATTTACAAAATACTGCCTCAATTCATCCTATTTCATCATATCTGAGGTGTGATAGGGTTCTAAAGGATGAACCGGATATGGACAGTTCGAATAAGATTTCATTCTTGAACAAAAATCCATTTTTTGATTTATTTCATTTATTTGTAATATTATTTTATTGAAATATGTGATTGAGAAAAAATAAATAATAATGGGAGCCCAAACACGGGCCAAGATTCCTTTTCTAGTAGCATTTTCAATAGGACACAATATTTGGACGGTTGAACAAACATGTGTCCAACTCCTAATTGTTGGTAACATGTTCCCCACATGTACCTACCTGCTCTAACCTTTTATTTTCGCAAATGACTAATCGATTAAGTCAGAACAAATTCTATAAGTTTTCGCACGGGTCTCTTTATAAATCCTTATTGAATGCTTGCTTGGTCGGAATTTTGTTAATTGATTTTTTGATCGTTAGAGGTAAATTGGGTTTTATCTGTGAGATAAGAATTCAAAAATAATTATTGGAATAGTGAAATAACGATAAAAAAATTAATTTTAATTGAATTTTAAACTGTACCAAACATGCTCTTAATTTTTGTTTGGCTTCCATTTCTTAAAATTCCTTTTTTCTTAAAATTTATTTTTAACTATACATTTCATAGAACCTGCAACTTTTGTTGACTTTACATGTACACATTTCACAAACATTTATTAAAATTTTCGTTTTTATCATAGTATTAGAGAGTCGTTTGATAAGATTTTTGAAAATTTAAAAGTTGCTTCTACCTTATGATCAAGTTCCTTTGACCTTAATTTTGTAAGAAAATACATGAAAACTAGCTGTATATAGGAACATATATGTGATCCATTCGCCACCTTTTTCTCTCTACCACCTCTCTTCTCTCTCAATCTTTCTACCCTATTTTCTAGTTTATATATATATTTCTTACCATACATTTTGTTATTCTCTCATTTCTCTCCTCTCACAACAAGAAAGAAAAGCCAACATATTCTCTCCCATCATCAACAGTAACGTCGATCATCACCTGACCGGTCGAGACGACACGTCGACTATGGCGCGCCGTCTCTTCACCTGTTTTGGCAAAGGCTCCTCGCATCATAAGCGAGAAATTTCGTACGAAAATACCACGTCGGATATGACGGTGGAGGAGCAGCGGAGAGGCGGACCGGTGGTGGTGGAGCTCTTTTCATCACAGGGCTGTGCTACCTCTCCAGAGGCGGAGCTGCTCTTCTCACGGCTAGGGAGAGGTGATTTCAACCTTGGGGTGCCGGTGATATTGTTGGCTTACCATGTTGATTATTGGGATTATATGGGCTGGAAGGACCCTTTTGGGTCGAGCCAATGGACTGTGAGGCAAAAGGCCTACGTTGAGGCCCTGAACCTTGATACAATGTTCACACCCCAAATTGTGGTCCAGGGTCGGGCCCAATGTGTTGGTAATGATCAGGATGCTTTGTTATCCTGCATCGCGTCGGCACCGCGAGTTCCTGCTCCCTCGTTCCAGGTTAGCAAATTTTATTACATCTATATTATGAGTGATGATTGGTGTACAGATTAATGGTTTATAGAACTCTTACCAACACTTCACATGGGGGGTGGGGAGAGAAGAGTGGGTTAATTTTTTAACATTATTTATTCATGTGGGACCCATATTTTTATGAGAGTATGTACACATTCTGCCAAAAAAAATTTCTGTACACCAATCTTAATTGCTATATTATAATGAGAAATTTGGATAAAATGTATTTTAAAATAGTAATTTTTAGAAGAATGTGTGGTTAAAAAATTATTTTTTTTTAAAATTTATGTTTAATATTATTTTATTAGAGAATGTGCGATTAAGAAAAAGAAAGTAAAAAATGTACTAAAATTTTAATGGAAGCCAAACAAGAACATAAATTATCTAACATAATATTTAAGAGACCATGTTTGGGATAGATTAAAGTTAAATTTTTAGTGGATTTTTATAAAAGTTAATGAAATATGTCGGGATGACAAAAATCGCCACCTCGCCTCAATTGGACGCCCCCCCGACAGGTTGGCGGAGCAGCGTGGGGAAGGGAGGCCCCGAACCCGCCCCTGTGAAGAGAAAAATAAAATAAATAAATAAAAATAGTAAAAAAAACAATAAAAAAATAAATGGGGGTGGGGCGGAGTTTGGTGGGACGGCCTCGCCCCAAATCTGCTCCGCTCCGCTGCCATCACTAAAAATATATGATTGAAAAGTTGTAAGCCATGCAATGCGTAATTAAAATTAATTATTGATTTCAACTCAAAATTACCATCAACTTCTAGTCTATATTAAGTAGGGCCTAATGTAATGGTTGCATTCTATCATGAAATTATCTGGTTTTTTATTATTTTATTATTTATTAGTGTTTGCTTAGTCCTTGTTTGGTTCATTTGAAAAAGTTGATAAAATCTAAGTCAAAATCAACAATTAATTTCAATCTCATATTTCATCAACTTTCATCGAAATTTGCTAAAAATACGAATTTTTGCTACACCAAACATAGTTTTAGTATACAAATAATTGTATGCAATTTTCATTTGTGTATAGCTTAATCGAAATTCATCGATCACATCACTTAATATTCCTATTACCAGGCGACATTTCAAAGGCCTACGCCCGAGTCCTTGCAAGTGTCCCTAAAAGGAGCTCTAAGCGCTAAGGGGGATCAACAAGGTAACAACGTCATGGTTGCACTATACCATAGCGGTTTAGTTACAAATTGTCCAAAGGGAGTGAACAAAGATCGCGTCTTAGCCAATGACTTTGTTGTAAGGGGGCTCCAAAAACTCTGCGCAGTCAAAGATATCTCCACCAAGAAACCTATTTCTGTTAATTTTTCTGTGTGGGAAGGTTTCAATAGCAGCAAATGTGGTATCGCGGTTTTTGTAGAAACGAGATCTCATCAAATATTGGGTTCGCAGAATTTTCAGTTGCCGGATAATGTATGAAGATTTAATTGAATAGAATTTTGACGAAGCTTCCTAACTGTCGTGTATAGGATATGTTGAAGGTTAGATGAGTTTACATTTCTATTTTTGATTGTTGTTTGGTTTTGTATTTGATTGAAGATTATGAGATGAGTGATGTTAGTACTATGAAAAGTCTGTTTCGAAATTTGGGATTTTTGAACTTGCATATGATGTTGATTCCTCAGATTTTACTCTTTATAAACTGGATAATAAATTATTTGGGAACAAGTAAAAACATCATAAAATTGAGCAAATATTTAGTTCTCTATATATACAAAGAAATATGGGTTTGGGGATTCAATTCAATTAGGTCCCCAACAGCTCAAATACATAACTGTTCTCAATGATTCCTCAGATTTCTTCAACTTGTGATCGTCCTTCATCTTTTTACATAGAATTGTTGAGGAGGGTACTCCAGAAAGTTTCTTAGCCTGAGCATATGATCTGAGGCTGTTCTTGGCGTGTTGTTGCAGTATTCTCATTGCATAATTCCATCTACAGAATCCCTGATCTTTCAGAACCTCAACAGCTCCAATGCTTGCTCCCACTAACCAAGCCCTGCTTGTGGAACTCATTTTCAGCTTCTTCTTCTTCTACTTTCGTACAGTTAAAATGATTCGATGTTTGTGGTAAATGGATTTGAATGGTGATGAAAAATAATGGGGTAGAATATGAGTTCATATACATGTATATAAAAGAAACTGAGGGAGGTTTTACCAGCAGAAAAGAAAATGCCCCCGGTTTTAGGTGGTAGTTTTATGTGCATCATGGATTGTGCCAATGGATTTAGATAAATTAGAGAGAGAAAGCTGCAGATATGTCCAAACTCACTTTTGTATTTATATACCACTTGTACATATTATATTGAAAATTATCTTGAACAGAATATGAAAACAAAAGAGTAAAATAGATGATAGGTGCTACAGAAGACAAACTTGCAAGTAGCACCAGTCAATGCAGTAATTCCAATTTGCAGAAAATATGTGCCTTAACAATAAAAGAATATATAGAGAGAAAAGAAAGGAAAATGAGAGGCTGCTGGTAGCCGCGAAGTTGAGAGAAGAGCAAAACTCTTTTAGGCCGTCGAACCGTAAGCCTCACGACCGTATATTGACCTCTCAACTAAGATGTGCAATATCAATTTCATCCGGTATTCGGAAAGTAGAGGCTGCACCTAACTTCTTCCGCTCTTCTGAATTCTCTTCAAATTCTTCATCATTACTGTCGTATTGTGAATCTTCATGTGTGTCTGGTGAATTGATACTTCTGGATTGGCAATGCGGGGTTGCAAGCACGCTCACTTGGCCGAAGTGGGAAATTTCGACTGCAACAGTTTCATCATCCAACGGGAGAGGTTGTTTCCATGGTTCACCATCAATCCTCATGAATGTATGGTCAGCAGCACCCTTGTGAAACTCGAAACGAATTGTAACGCCCCAATTTTTTCATTAAGCATAAACACGGAAACGTTACGAAAACTCGTTTTTCTTTAATTAAAAAAAATGCGGAACTATATAAAATTCTTCAATAAACAAATAATTGTAACGT